TTAAACTCGTTTTTATTAATAATTATCTAAAAATTAGAAATTTTTCTAATAACAACAACAAAAAAATGAAAATTTAAAAACTTTACTAATAACAATAAAAACGAAATTATATTAGTTTTAATATATGTAATTAACCATAGATGATAATGTGTACCAATAGAATTGAACTTTTTAAATCTTATGTGGATACCCTTAGAGGCATGTAGCATCAACTTTTATTAATAATAGATATTTAGATAATAGTAGTTTAATAAAATAAGTTTGTTAATATTGTGGCCTAATAAATATAATTTTCTTTGTATTTGTGGTCCAAATATTAACTAAAAAATTAGTGGTCCTAAGCCATGGTTTAACCCGTCTGTCATATGGGCTGGGCATGTGTATGTGATTCATCACTACACAATACTCATTATTATAATGTCTTTATTACTGATTATCTTTCTTTTATTTTTTTGGTGATTTTGTTCAGGTTTTGCACATGGATTTGGAGTCTCTTAATACCATAACAACTCTTAGCGCTTATAGTGAATATATTGATATGAATAAAGAAAGTGCTATGAATGAGAGAGAAACAAACACATGACACATCCAAAGTGACATTCAAGCAACTCAAGCAACACAATCAGGTCAGACTTCACGTAAGAGACGTTTAACTTTATCTGTTTGACAATAATTTAAACCAGTTGTAAATTTAACACTAGTGAATGAAGCGAAGAGTTATTTTTTTTATCCTTAGTCTATATAATAATTAGATAATAGTAGTTTAAAAATATAAATTTATCAATATTGTGGCCCAATAAATATTTTTTTTTTGTATTTGTGGCTTATATATTAACTAAAAAGTTGGTGGCCCTAAGTTATAGCTTAGCCAGCCTATCTTCTGAGCCGGACTTGTGTATATGGTTCATCACTACTCAATACTCACTATTGTACTGCCTTTATTACTGATTTACTTTCTTTATCTTTTTGGTGAGAAGCTGAAAGAAATCTTTGCAAAGCATCATGGTCGGTTTGTTTTACATCAAATTTATGTGTGAGTGTGGCACGAGCCAACCATAAGTTTGATGCAAAACAAATATAATCTTTTGCAAAGTTTTTTTCAGCTTTTCACCAAAAATATAAAAAAAAGCAAATCAGTAATGAAGGCAATACAATAGTAAGTATTGAGTAGTGACGAACCACATACATAGGCCCGGCCCAGAAGACAGATGGGCTAAGCCATGACTTAGGACCGGGAAAAGGGTCAATTTCGATCTGAACTAAACATGTCGTGTAGGAAAACGTATGGGCTAAGCCATGACGTTTGCTGAACACAACAGGTTCAGTTCAGGTCAAAATTGGCCCTTTTCTCAGCAAACATCATTGCCATGCTGACATCTCCTTCCATTCGAGTCAGCATGCGTTAGCGGTCAACTAAGGAGAATATGGTCAATATTGATTTTGGCACGAATTTGATAGTTGGGGTAGGTTATTTGAATTTTATATGAGGTTGAGGTAGAAAAATGCACTATGTCTAATTTTTTTTTTTGGATAAAATGTCAAATTTTATACCAATTTTAATTTTAGACAGAATTACAGAGAAACTTAGAAGACAGAAAGACCAAAATCTAACAACAACGGTGCTTAATTACAAACGGAAGCAAGAACAGAACAAAAAACGATAAGCTAGACCCACACCAAAGCCAATACGAGATCATGAAGACAAAACACCGATTCCGAACAACCATCAATTGGAAATTTGCACTTTCAATTTCTAGGAACTTGAGTCCTCATCGTCGTTGCCAAGAGCCACCGTACACAAAGCCAGCCCTCAAAACCTCGCTAAACACGGCACCTACAGGTTCTCCGAGGACAAGCACAAAAACGGAAACACTTCGACCCACTCAAATACCAACCGGCGGCATGGGAGCCTCCAGGCCTGCTAAAGAAGCCGCCTCTAGCCGCCAACCGCGAGCTTGAAAAACTGTGAGAAATATCTCCCACAGAAGGTAAATGGCCGCCAAGTAAGATCCACCGCCTCTATTTGAACCCAAGACACCACCAAGACTAAAAATGAGATCATCACCATCAAAAATTTGAACTCTTCAAGAACTGCTGAACCAACACCAGAAACAGAACACACATCGACGATGGAACGAAGAGCCACACCGGAGGCCATGACAGAACAGAGAAGCCACAGTTAGCAAACAACTAGAAGAGGAGCCCTGAACATCTTAACCGACGTTGAAGCTTTACCACCGGCCATCGCCGGGGCAGCCAAACCGAGCCCAATGACAGCCAAAAACCTCCGCCCAAACCACCACCTAACATTGGGGAAGATGCAACGGAATTGCCACAGAGCCACCGCGAAATTCCTAACCTCGACAGCCCTAACTGAAGAGCAAACCTACATCTGCCGGGAAAGAAGAGAGAAGCCGCCGCAGGGACCAAAGGTAGGGGAGATGAAGAAGAGGTGCAAAGAAGGAAGGGTTAGTCCTCAAGACCCTTTCCTAACTAACACCCAAAACCACCTCCGAGAGAGAGAGAACCACCGCTGCTACAGAGCAACTCGAGGCCGAGAACCAAAGACGACACCACAGAACAAACGCTCCCGGAACAAGACGCTACAAGACCCCCAAGAAGCCGTCCTCGAGCAAGCAAGGGAGGAGAAGCAAAAACGCGAGCCGCTGGACAAAACGAAGGAGACAAAGTGACACCGAGCCTCCAACAACAAACCCCAAAGGAAGGGGAAACACAGATCTACGGCAAAGGCAAGGGGGAAAACGTCGAGGCAGCCGTCAAAAGAACAAGCAAAGAACGGGGGTCCCTCCCACGGTAGCGGTGAGAAGCACCACCCACCAGAGAGGGAGATCAGAGCACTGAAAGATGGTGATGGAGAGAACAAGAGAAAAAAAATCGCCGCTTATAGGCCTACTTTGCTTTCAAAAAAACAAAATATGAAAATTAAAACTGTTAGGGTAAACTTTTTATAGTGACAGGCCCCACCGCAAAGCGGTCCCATATCCAGGAAAAACCTCAACTCCTGCATGGACCTACGAGTTAGTATACACCGCTTGTCCCTACTCGTATGAAGGAGTTTTTATTTGGAGAGGCTCAGTACCACCATGGCGACAGAGAGACTCGAACTCGAGTTTCGAGCACTATGTATAATTCAAATAGGAAAGAGCACGACAAGTTTTATTCATATTGAAATTAGCCCTTTTTCCGCTTAAGATCACTAATTTTTTAGTTCATTTAGACTACAAATACAAAAAAAAATTATATTTATTAGACCACAATATTGACATATACATCAAACTCCTATTTGTAAATGATGTTGGACCGAAGAGGAAACAGAACAACATTTGTTTTTTACATGTCCATATGGTCAATCAATTTGGAGAGCCATCGGATTTCATTCGCAACAAATAGGAACAGAAACAACGATATCAACACTACTACAATGGTTGTGCTCTACCAACTCAACTCATTGCTCGCACTTAGGAGAAATACCGATCTGGATCTTATGACACATCTGGAAGAGTCGAAACGTGCTACCTTTTCAACAAAAATCAATACAATGGCAGAAGATTATTCTTAATACGCGACGAGATTACAGAGAATGACGGGATATGGAGAACCGAAGCAATGAACCAGACATAGCAAGTAATCAAGTAGTATTATCCAGACAACAACAACACAATGGCATCGAAAATAGACACGATAATATAAATGCATGGAAACGACCAGAAAACAATTGGATCAAATGCAGTTATGACGGATCATTCTTCAATGAACATGCGGAAAGATAAGCTGGATGGGTTTTCCGAGATAATAATGGTAAGTTTCAAGGTGCAAGCCAGTTACGACGAAAACAGCCACTTAACGCATTTGAAGGAGAACTACAAGCTCTCTTAGCAGCAATGCAACCCAGTTGGAGTAGATGATAGTTGGAGTAGAGGATACTCGAAGATAATCTTTGAAGGAGATTGTCAGAAAGTAATAGATACCATTAGACCACCTGCATTGGTAGTCTCTCACTAAGTCTCTCAAAATAAAAAATTAATAAATTTAAAAAAAGAAAAGAGAGAGAATGAAGAAAGTCTCTCAGTTGAGAGACTATGAGAGATTTGTGAGAGACTCACCTTATGTGTTGTCTTCATATAATTGGTTTAAACTTTATTCCAAATTTAAAATTAATTAATTCAATTAAGTTATATTAAAATTATTATTATTAAATTGATGAGAGACTTATGTGAGTCTCTCACCAATGCAGATGCTCTTAGTGGAAAAGCTCTACATTTCCATTCTCATAACTGGATACGAGACATAAGATGGTGGTGACAGAAGTTCTCATAAGTTAAATTTCAGTGGGTTCAAAGAGGTTCAAACAAACTGGTCGATAAACTTGCAAAGACAAGAATCCCAGACGACTATAAATTTTATTATTATGATTCCACACTATTATGTATTAGCAGTTTGTATCAATCCGATATTGTAAACTCGATTCATTAATTTTATCAAACAAGAAAAAGAAAAACTGAATTACCTAAATTTATCCAATTATCCAAGTTTACCTGAATTTAACCGATCTTATAAAAAAAAATCATAAATTTCAATTAGTTTTGGATAAAAAAATATATCACCCAAATCATCCATTACGCGAACCGAATCAACTTTCATTTATTTTTGGTAAAATTTTGAACTACCCTAACTATCCAATCCCAAAATCTGAACTATCCGAAGGGCGAGTAACTAAGGTGGAGATATTGGATGATTGATTTTAAAAGAATACAAAAGAATTAGAAAATAATGTAATTTAAAGTTTTTGCTGAGAATTTAAACCAATTCTATCAAAATGACAGCAAAAATGATAGGAATTGATTCTTTAAAAATTTTCATTGAAATTATATTAAATTCTTTTAAAATGACAATAGTCTAAGAAGAAAACTAAAATTGAATAACACCAACAATTAATGGAATTAGAAAATCATTAAATTGAATAACATTATAATTTAAAGTAATCTAGAAGAACGACTTCAAATATTGAATCCAATAACACATGAATTTAAAAGAATTTGTGAAATACAATATTGAATAACACTAGAATTTAATAGAAAGCTTAATTTTTTTTTTTTTTTTTCATCTGAAGATTTTATTTCAAACAAGGGTGTGATACAACTGAAGGATACGCTGACAGATACAGAAATTAAAAACTCAGAAACAAAACTCTATCAAACTAAAACAGAATCAGAAATCGAACTAACCAAGAACAGATACTGTTTTTAACTTGCAAGCCTTCTAAATCTTCTGATGCGCCTAAGCCCGAAAGTATCGAAGATGCCCACGGCCGATCAACGAAACCAAATTTCCTCTTATGTCAGTAACAGAACCAAAGTTTCACACACCGGCAAGCAAGTGCAGCAACCAAACTCCCGGAAACGAACCGTCAAGAAAGTGCAACAACTTGAAAACTCCCGGAAACGGCGCTGTCGAAAGGACAAGAAAACGCCTAGACAGAAACCATCCACGCTACTTCAGCAGCAAAAGACAAAGGACTAAGAGCAAACCTAAACCATCCTGCGGTATAAAGACCACGGCAGCAAGACGGAAAAGCGCAGAGCGACGGAGAAGCGAACCACCGACCACCAATAAAGAGAAACAGAACAAGCAAGAAATAAGCCAATAACCATTCCAGAATCAGCCGATCCTCTGCTTAGAAGGGTAAAGAGCAACCGCAGAGATCCGAAGACAACTCTGCTAGAATCTGAGACAAACCCACAAGAAGAAAAAGAGGGATTTGAGGCGATCGGAAAGAGAGAGCTGACATAAGAAGCCTGTCCGCAGAAAGGCTAACGAACGCCACCAACTACTCCGGCAGGAACAAATCGACGAGACACACGGAGATCCAAAACGAGATCTGAAAAAGAAGAACCAAAAGCGGACTCTTTCACCGAAAATCCAACAGAACGGACTCTTCCTTCCTCTCTTCGTCAAGATCTGCTAAAAAATGAAGCTTAGAATCGAAAGACCCACCACCTTCCTCACTCAAATTCAACCCAAACACTCTAATCTCTCAAAGCAGAACCCGACAAATGAAACAAAGGCAGAAAACAAGAGAAAGCAAGAGAAAGATCGGCGTCGGCTCTGAAGGAGCAGCCCGACACCGATCACCGGAGGAATGCGACGGCTGGAAGCAAAGAGAAAACGAGAGCTTAATTCCTTCTAATTCAGTTGAATTTTTTAATCGAATACCTCCCCCTAAACTAGTGTAATGATGGAGGGAGCTTCTTAAAACGTATCTGTATCCGGGTCAGATCTATATGAACCGGGTCAATATTCTCGGGTTCCCGCTCTGTTTTCCACCCTCATTTATCTCTGCATATTCCACAATTTACAGTCCATCCATGGAGCCGTCGCTGCGAATCTAAAATTCGCAGAGCTCCTGATAATGGAGAACGCCACTATTATCTCAATTGCAGAGCTAGTTCACGGAGGCCGAGCCGTCACCGGCGCATCGTCGCTATACTTCTCAATTTATACGCCGGCTTCTCATTCGTCTTCCGAATCAGTCTGTAAAAACCCTCAATCACGCTCCGGCGCCGTCGATTCGGACTGGAGCCGCAAATTTCTCGCACCGTTGAACCACCGAGCGGTTATCGTCGGGACGCTAGCTCTTCCCTCCGAAACCCTAAAATGTCCGAATCGCTACTGCTTCCGATTCACAGACGGTGACTTGACAGTCTGCTGTGATATCATTGGTTTCGAAGTAGGCGCGATTGGGAGTAAGATTTGTGTTTTATCTTGGAATTTCCTTCCTATGAGGCATTTCGGTGGGTTTTTGGAGATTATCAAGTGGAAATTTGTGGATTCCGGTAAGTTGCTTGATTCGTTTCCGCTGTGTTCGCCGGAAAACAGTGACGGCAGGTCACGGTATAGCGTCCATGGTGTGTTAGAGTCGATTAGCCCCGTTTCTGTTGTTCCTTGTATGGAAGGAGATTCTGCTGACTCTGTGAAAGTTCCTGGGTTCTTAATAAGGGTAATGGCCTGTGAGTGTAGAGAATATAGTGGGAAGGATATGTTGGATTCGATTGGTTTCAGTCACTCTTTCGAGAAGTCTGTTCTCGTTTACTTCTGTGGTTCAGTGGCTGCGAGTTGGCACCCTGCGATAACGAAGCTAGTTGGGAGAAATATTGGTCTATCGGGGATGAATAAGAAGTTGGTTTATATAAACAAATGTGATTCTCTGTTGGTGTTTGTGACGACTGAGAACTCTGTTCTTCATTCTCCTTGGGTTTCTAAGAAACAGGCTGTTTCGAGAAGTGCTGTTGAGAGGAGAGGTAACTGCGGTTCGTACCTCGGATTTGTCAAAGGTTTGTACATGAAAGGGAAGCTTGTTGAGATGGAGGAAGATGTCTGGCTTTTATTGACGGATCAGATACATAACAGATCCCACAGTATCCGAACTGGTTCCCTTGTAAGAAGTCCCTTCTTGCTTCAGTTTAGTGTATAGTGTGGCCATAAGCGTCTATCTGTGCTGGTTTGAGATCTTTGATTGTTTTGATTTATTTTAGTGCAGATTCATGTCAGAAATGTTCATTTTGTGAATACCAAATTTTCTTGGGGAGAAGTGCTTATACTTGGGGCATGCTTCAAGACCAGCATCACAGTTGAGATATTTTCACCTTTTGAAACGAGGTAAGGTTTTAATATAAATTCAGTGAGTCATGGATGCTTTCTCATATATCTGGAGATTGATCCATCTGGTGATTCAGTTGTTTTGTAGATTCATGTCGTCAGACACCTCTGAGTCGATTCATTGAGTCTTTGTCCTTTCCTGCAAGATTTTGGTACTTTTTCTCTCTGATCGTTTTTAACAATATCTTAAGTGATTTCATGGTATTTTAGGACTTGTGACTAATATAGCTGCAATACAATACTCTGCAGGACATTACTCCTTAGTTCATGCATCCAGAACATAAACGGAATGTCATCAGACAAGGAGATGTTAAGATCCTGTCAGGTAACTGAAAACAGGCTTGGTTCTTTGATTTGATCCTGGCCTTTTTTATTTCTCCCACGTTATAGTTATGTCTTTTTCATCTTTGTGAGGTGTTATCAGAGGGATGAACTGACAAAGCTGTATGCAGAGTCACGAATACCACCATCCATGTTTCGACCTAGGGTAAATTGGTAAATTCAAAGTTCAATTATATATGCAGCTTTATACTCTTCTTAAGGTACTACTATCCTTGCTCACAGTTTTACTTTCTTTTTGTTTCCAAACTTTTAAATACGCAGTGCGGGCTTTTTACTGAATTCTGCATGCATGAATCATGCGGATGCAATAGTCAAGCTCATGATTGCAACCTGAAGCTGGTGAGCCTTTTGTTTTGTAGAACATAAGTAGACTGGTTGCTCGTGATTGCAACCTTAGACTGGTTTTGATCTCTGTTTAATTGTCAGGATTATTTTAGATCTTTAATATGAACTCCTCCTCCTTTTTTCTGCAAACAGGTAATGCCTATCTCAAGTTTTATCCACCACTCCAAGGTCATGCTGAACGAACTGCTTTCTCAGATTAAGAAAGACTACACCATGTATACTGCTAGTAATTGCTTAAGTCGTTCATTATCAACACGGGAAAGATACGGAAATACAAAGATTTTTAAAAGTGAAGATATTGGCATCATCTTGCTTGGAAAATTGAAGGTATATTAATCCTAAATTGCATAAATATGCCTCCATGTAGCTCCAAGATATTTGAAGGCGTACATGAGTACAATATTGTGCCATCAGTTAACTCATTTTATATGTTGTTCTTGATTTATTGAGATGTCAGTGTCATCACATATCTAGCTTTTGTTACATAACAAGGTTTTTGTTTTCCTCTATTTATACCCTTATGTAGCTGTGACATTATTCTGTGTAGATCTCCTCTTCTGGAATACTACAATTTCATGACAGAACTAGCAGCATTAATGTTCTGATGCCAGACTTTCTAAGTGATGGAAATGACTGCAGGATATATGAGGTTTATTTTCTGTACTTCAGACTGCATTTTCTTTGTTTATCCGGCACCTTGGAGGATACCGAACTCGTCATTCGATTTAGTATTCCCTTTTATTTGTTGTAGGTTTCTGATTACAATCTTATCGTGGAAGGAATACCTGAATTGGCGCTCCACACGCTGTTTCTTCAAAAGCCACTTCCTTATAGAAGTGTGGTTAAACCCGCTCCATTGGCCATAGAAAACACATTGACAATGCCATTTTCTCTGAAGGTTGGTGCTGCAAGTTGCAGAAATGTTCTCGTGCATCATTCTATTGACTGGAGGCATGATCTCAGTGAGTTCAAAGGTGAAAGGTTTCATCTATTTAGGGTGACCCATAAATTTCCAATTTTAAAAAAGGTATGGTTTTATTTCTCAAAAATAGCAATCCCCATAATCTCACTATTGTTTATTTCTTTGCTCCGAGAAAGAGAAGCTGTTGTGTATGCACGAAAGTCTTAGCTTTTATGGTTACTGAACTTGTACCAGGGTCATCCAGGAATGCCTGACCGTACCAGTGTTTTCGTTGAGGCTGTAATTATTCCCTGGGAACTATTTTGCGCTGGTTTTGAAGAAGACGCAGCTGCTCCCCAAAGTGATGAAAGTAAGACCTCCCAAGAAGAACGTCCACATAAGAGATGTAAAACTAACAATGCTTTACAGATGGAAAGAGTATTATCTGCGCCGCATGAAATTTCTTGCCAGATGACGGTCAGAGGTTCTACTAGTCACAGTTTGACCATAGCAGCAACTCTGTCTAACTTAAAGGGAAAAAAAAGTGGTAACATTCGCAGTGTTAAGCGGGTGCTGTTAGAATTCAAACTTGAATGCAAAAACTATAATGTAAGTATTAATCCATACCTGAATGCAAAAACTATATTGTGAAACATGTATGCTGCTGCACTGATTTAAAATATATAAAGCTTTTGAATTTGTTATTGGCAGGGATTGCAGATTGGCGGTTGCTATTTGATGAAGCATGGCACCGATGATTCTTTCTGTTTTGGACGGTCTGGCATATGTAACAATGACAAAATCAATTTTAGACCTGAGACACGTTTATGGAGTCTGGAATTTTCTTTTGATGAAGTTCTCACCCATGACGGAGTATATCCTCTGGCGTCTTCTCAACCATCTCTTGCGGTGGAACAACGAGATGTTTCTAGTCCACGACCTTGTTCAGATGTTTCGCTTCTTCTCCCTTGTGATGCAGAAAGACTCTTCTCAGTATATCGCAAGGACTTGGAAGAACTTAATAAGCCAGTCGCAGATGGAAAAGACAAAAATAACAGTACATGCATCATACCGTCTCGACTACCTCTATCCAACAGTTTGTTTCCTGAGGGGAATCTAGCGAGTTTCAGAGGCGATGTAGTAGCAGTTAATGTTGTTGATTCTTGTGTCATTGATGTTCTGAGCAGCTATTGCATTCATGTTGTAGTCAATCATCAAATGGTGAGTACATATTATACTCTTTTCTATCTACTGTCTGTATTCTTGTAACTCTTATCTCCTTAACGATGTGTTGCAGGTGAAGATTTCTGGTCCGCTTCGAAGGCATTCTTATCTCACTGGGTTTGGCCCTGGGGTGAATGCAACATTCTACCGGATTCTTGGAACGGGGTATTATACCTAATTAACAACCGTTGCTTAATTACCTTTTAATTAAGAGACAAACACATCTTCATTCTCTTGCATTCTTGTTTCTGCAGAGAGGAAAACAGGTTTCTGTTATTATCAGCATCTTTTGTCAAAGTAAACTCTCGAAAGGCATTTGATGGTCCAACTTTGGAGAAACCGACTCATCAAGCTGCTATGGGTTTGCCCAAAGTTACACCCCAGGATTCCTCGGGAAACAAGGATAATCAGCAAGTAAACTTTGTCTGCAAGGTGGATTACCAAAGTTATTGTACTACTTCCATTGATGATTACACTTTTAAAGGCTCCGTTCTTGTAATCTTCTTTATCTATTTATTGATGCAACAGGTTCTTTCAGTTCATCTTGTGGTTGTACAAGTTGGATCTGATGATTCCTCAGAAAACAAATGTGGGGAAAATCTAGATATACCGCTTGCAGGATTCGTGGTAGGTAAGAAGTCACACTTTATCTATTGTAGGGAACACTAACATGGCTATTTAATAATGGTGTCTGGATTCTCCATTCATGAGTTTCACTCTTTTGCTGTTTTAGATGATGGATCATCTACTTTTATTTGCTGGACAAGTGGGAAAAGAGCGTTTACATTTCTCAGGCTGCACGAAGAATTGCCTGAAACAGCCATTGATGTGGCCCAGTGGATCAGAAGTGACAGAAACCAGAGCACCACAGCTTACCATCTTGAAAAAATCGTACGGGTCCACAAGAGAATAGTGATGAAGATCAATGGATCACAGAATGACACACTCTTTCAAGACATCACCATTACTGTTGCTTCGCAACAACTTCTCACCTATTCAGAGGATAAGTTCCTCAAGTTGTTGATACTAAATACCACTAGCGGTCCCATATGGGTATGTTCCATCTCTTTTTATCCTCCATTTTATTGCATTTTCATTCTCTCCTGAATCCAAACACGATTATTAAGTTTAGTAGGCTATTTAGTAGACTAATCATATTAACGAGTTAATTAAACTATTACAACAGTTGTCTTAAGCATCAAAAGTATAGGTGGGATACATAGTTAAATGCCACAAGTGGTTGTTTCTATACCAGGTTAATAGTATTGAGGCACACACTGTACTCGGTCCTTGCGTTGTTTCCACTTGTGATTTTATATTATCAAAATAAATCTAGAACCGATCTTCATTGTTTTGGTTTAAGCAGGATGTTACAGCGAGCTCAATAGACATGAAAGTGATCCAGCATTTGGAGAGAGAACATTGTGTGGAGATGGAACCTTCAAGACTTACTCTACAGAACGTTTGGGGTAATGAAGTATGTCAAGTGGATACGTTGGTACGAGCCTGGAGCCTACTCCAAAGTTTGCTTAATACGTGATCATAAACTTAGTTTTCTTTCCTTTTCTCCCCTGGTTTTGTTCATTTTAATGCTTTTAAAATGTAAATGAAAACAGTGAAGATGCTTGTGAGAAGATCTGATCTTCTCATAGGCCATAGGGTTTCAATTAGATAACTCTAATAAATACAAAAATTTGTAGGTTAAATAATACACAAACGAAGGAAACTCTAGAATTTGAGTGTGATAGTGAAGATGTGATGTAGAGAAACTTTCACGCCCAATCCTGTTACAAGCTCATAAACTTGCTCGACCAAACTTGCACGAGCATAAGCAACAATAGTTTCATCGTTTGGACTTTGGAACATGAGATTTTGGAGAAGGTGATGTTCAAAGCTGGGATGAAGAGGCTTGCGAAATCTACAGCTAAACGTTAATCAAAGAAAGCTAAAGCGGAAGTTAAGGATCGATTGCAACATTTACGAATTTGATCAAAATCCATCTCGTCTTATTGCGTATATAAATAAACTTTGTATTGTATTCAACAATTCGTGGTAATTAAAGTTATGACTTAAGAAACTTTTCTGTTTGGTAGCTTCTTGTTTTGTGTGTTGATCTATTGTAATTCCTGTATTTGTGTGTTTTATCAAAATTTGCATTTATATACAACAAGCGAAACATAATCATAATACAAATATTTGAATTAACAATATTGATGGATGAATTTAATCTGGAGTTTATAGTAGCAAATTAGTTTCGTATTCAATTCGAAAACGTTTTATAAAAGTTAAAATATAGAACTATAAGTTGGAATCTACTGTAGTGTATACTGTAGTGAGACTGCGACTATCTTTACTCCCATGCTTTTCCTCTTGTTTTTATAGTCTGTTTCGGAACATTTTGCGGGATATTTACAAGACTGTAATTGTCGTGTCCAGAGAACTTCATTTCATGGGTTCATTCTCTAGGGGCATGATTAGAGCTTAGATCGGCATTCGAACTTATAGCCTGGGGTCTGAGATCACTTAACAAAATGGTAACATGGCTTTCGGGAGAATTGTAAAAAGGTTTCTTTCCTAAAAGTTCTCTGATATTCAAATTAGAAACTCTCCACTGTGAACATGTGCTAAAGAGAGTAGATTTTAGTAAAGTTATGGGATGGAACATCACATCCAAAGAGGGTGGTGTTCATCTGATATTTTAATGATGCACGATGGCTATAAACAAATACGAGAACGGGTTGGAACTCTCTCTTATTTTAGTGATGACGAACTCTCTCTCTCTTTGTAATAATCCGGGCCCTGTCAATTTGAATAAGTTTAAACAGTTAATCTTATCTTTTATTCTTTTTTATCTAATCTCTCTCTCTCTTCTGACCATCTGATCCCCTTCAAGCTGAGCCAATCCTTCTCTTTTATTCTCATTTTGGGCTCTTTTCCTATTGGTTCCACAAGTCTCGTTGTCTAGGCCTGCTATTTATAGTGGGTGGAAATCTCTTCAAGCGAGACTCCTGCCAGGCACTTGAATACTCAACATGCCTCTTCTGCAACTTACCGAGGAGCAGGTGCATAGGCGCATTGTTGATAGGTGACCTTCTAATGACATATCGTCTAGTTATTCAATTTGGTAAATCGATCCTAACCGTCTAAATATATGTTTATCATTTTCAATTATTTTTGATTTGATATTACCTGTTAGTTTTGTTATATTCTGTCAAAACACTAAATTACTTTGGATGATTCTTGCGTTCATCCCATAATGTATTTTGAGTTTGATTCTTGGTTCACATCACGCTAGTATGAGTTTGTTGCCTTACTTTGTTTATGATTTCCAATTCTTAGAATCTTTCACTTCTTATTTCCTTCTTAGAACATCTTCAACCATATACTAAATTTAAAGCTAAATTCTATTTTAGAATAAAATCTGCTCCAATCCTATCTTATTTTTACTTCTAAAATAAAATGATATTATTTTCTTATTCCAAAATTTAAAACCATCTCATTATCTATTCTATTTTAGAATTGAATTTTCCTATTTATAAACCAGCCCTTCAAATTATAAATAATTTTATTTTAATATTTATAAATAATTATTTTGATGATGATAATTTTTTATTGATGATTATAAATATTAAAACACTCTAATGACATCAACCAAATTAAAATGAAAATAACATATAATTAATAGAAACTATAATGACATAAACCATAGTATTTTGCTTTGTTTTATCATTTTTATGTAGTGTAATATGTTTCTCTTTATATTAAAATAGTTAAATTTAAAGAAGATTATAATTTATTTTAAAAAATGAAAGAAATGAAATTATTGGATCAATTTGTAAATTTTCAAAAAGTGTATAGTTAGCAATTAATAATAAATTAAAATAAAATTAAAAAGTTCTTTTTGAAATAAAAAACTATAATAATATATTAGAGAAAAATCTAATTATATTTTGCAATTATTCTATTTTGAGATAAAAAATAAAATGATATTTTGGAATTGCTCTTAATAAACTCTATTTTTGGATCGGAATTTATGTAGTAACAATATTATATATTCAAAATATAAAACAATTGTCATATTTGTAAATAATATATAGATTTTTTTAATAGGAATATTAAATTAATCCATCAAAGCCATTATTAGAATAAATACATCTTATGTTTAGAATATAAAACCAACTAAATACTTTACATCCAAAGAATCACTAAAAAGATAACCAAATCTGCAAATCTGCATTCCCTCTTAAATTCCTGGTCACATTCTGATATATTTATTATTTATATCATATTAGTATGCATACATTACTAGTTTTTTGGTCTTTAAGCATGTATTTCTTACTTGTTCTTGTCCCATTGACATACATTTAGGAGTTAGAGTAATTTTAGGTATTGCATTGCATTTTATTTGCATTTGGAGTTGTATCCGATACAAAAAGAGTGTTTGGAGACCAAGTGGAGCAATGGATGTGAGCTAGGAGTGGAGCAAGAAGGAGAACAAGGGCAGATGGACCAATATCGAGCAGTTTTGCCCGATATAGCATGTACCGGTCAGAGTATCGACCACTTCACGTCAATACAGAAGGGGCAAGGCGTACAGAGGAGAATATCGACCTGAGAGGACTTCGATACACCAAGGAAAGCTTGTACCGGACAGCATATCGGGCATGTAAGCCGATACACCTGAGACGGGACGATACTGACCATCGTATCGAGCAAGGAGTGCCCAATCTACCTTAACCGGAGGCGATTGTATCGACATGCATACTGTGCAGGGTCACCCTGATATGTCCCTTGAAGTCCGACGTATCGACCACCATACCGGGCAAGAGCAAGCCGATACAAACGAAGGGAGAGCAAATATCGATGAGTGTATCGACCAGACAAGCCGATATAGGTCAGCCGAACCAGCCAAAAACCGGTTTACTCCTAGTTTATTAGGAGTTTTCAAGTCACCCTATAAATACTTTAAGTCCTAAAATGTTTAGGCAATGGGTTCTATCTTTTATTCTAAGCAAAAACATTTCCCTTTTGGGTAATCTTTTCAAGAACCTTGTTTGATCTGGTGAATTTCTGTGTTTTCCTTAACCTGTTCTTGTTTATTATGCTTTCTAATAATGTTTAACCATTCTTTCTCTTTGGAATTAGTGGTTTTGGCTATGACTAGTGAGTAGTCTCTTTTAGGGTTTAAGATGAGATAGATTAGAGGGGTTTTAGGATTAGATTAGTGATGTCTTGTGCTTAATATGATTGTTTTCTCTCTATTTGATGTGTTTAACACTAGGTTAGTCTTGGCCAAGCTTGCTTAGTATCTATGATTTCTCTTATGCCTAGTAAGTGTTTGATAAAATGTTGTTTAGTCTTTTAGAGGATTTATCTGTTCTAGCCTAAGAGATTAGCTGTCTAGAATACATCTTGGCTTAATAAAATTGGTTTTGCTTGATTGTTAGTTTTCTAATCACTAATGAGAGTTACTTCTTGGTTAGGTTCTTAGCAAAGGGGTTTCCACCAAGAGATTGGGTTAAATTATTGTGTTTGAATTCTATGCCTATGTATGAAATAGCATTGTTTGATGATTTGTGAAGCATCATTAGTCTATTCTAATCCTCTCTACATCAGTAACCCCATCTTAGGTCCTGCTTTTATCATTTGATTATCACATTTCGAAATTGCTCTTTTGTTTAGTCTTGTTTAGTTGATTGCTTGAGTTTGATCATCACTTGTCTTTGATTTGGCTTAACTTAAGTGAGCTATTGTATTTCTATTGTCTTACTTTGCCCATTATGGATCGATACCTACATACTACAAGGATTTGAGCATATGTAGGAATTGAAGTAGCATAAACACCTACATCACTTTGTCTTCAAATTATCTTTGAACTGAATAATATATAGATTTTGATCTATATAATTTTGGATTGAAATTTATATACAAACTAGATTAGAACCCCATATATGCGATAATAGCAAAATTTTAAACTTATTAAAATATATATTTAAAAAAAAAATCGGATCAGTGGTTAAAAAAAACATATTAAAACACATAAAATCAAAATTTTAAAGTTATTTATTTTAAATCTCATTCGTTTTCAATTAAAAGATTCAAAAGTAGAATCTGTTGCGGGTCATAATCAACATTAAACCTACTTTTTTGTAGTTCAACACTTTATCAACTATCATTTTTTGTTTCGCAGCGTTAAAAATTTGAATATACAATTCGAGTCCTTCAAATATGTTAATTCTTTTCAATCAAACAAATTTTCTATCTCTCTTTACATTCATCTTCCATATATGATTTATATAGTTTTTAGAGAAGTTATGCTTCTCAAGACTCTCGTCAAAAGCTTTTCTACAGTATCTTTGCTGATCCTCCTCTATATTAAACTCATCATTGTCCAATGCCATATCATTATCATCCATTTTTTTTTTTTTTTTGCGTAATCCTACATTGCAAATTTTTCATTTGATCTTTTGGAATTATCTAATTATTGAATATCGAAACACTTTATATGAATACAATATTCAGCAAACGAATCACAAAAGATAAAAAATTTGGAATACCAAACGAATCATAATGGATGAAAATTTGAAATACCATATAAAATGTTTTAATAATAATAATACAATAAAAGAAAAAAAATTATACCTATAGAATGAAGTTCAAAAAATGTTATTTGTTTGTAAAAAATTATGACTGACTTTAGAGAAGTTATGCTTCTCAAGACTCTCGTCAAAAGCTTTTCTACAATATCTTCGCTGATCCTCCTCTATATTAAACTCATCATTGTCCAATGCCATATCATTATCATCCAATTTTTTTTTTTTTTTGTGTAATCCTACATTGCAAATTTTTCATTTTTATCTTTTTGGAATTATCTAATTATTGAATATCAAAACACTTTATATGAATACAATATTCAACAAACGAATCGCAAAAGATAAAAAATTAGAATACCAAACGAATCATAATGGATGAAAATTTGAAATACCATAGAAATTTTTTTAATAATAATAATACAATAAAAGAAGAAAAATTATACCTATAGAATGAAGTTAAAAAAATGTTATTTGTTTGTGAAAAATTATGACTAACTTTAGAGAAGTTATGCTTCTCAAGACTCTCGTTAAAAGCCTTCTACAGTATCTTCGCTGATCCTCCTCTATATTAAACTCATCATTGTCTAATGCCATATCATTATCATCTAGATTTTTTTTTTTTGTGTAATCCTACATTGCAAATTTTTCATTTTTATCTTTTGGAATTATCTAATTATTGAATATCGAAACACTTTATATGAATACAATATTCAGCAAACGAATCACAAAAGATAAAAAATTTGGAATACCAAACGAATCATAATAGATGAAAATTTGAAATACCATATAAAATATTTTAATAATAATAATACAATAAAAGAAGAAAAATTATACCTATAGAATGAAGTTCAAAAAATGTTATTTTTTGTGAAAAATTATGACTGAATTTATTTGTTTATATACACATGGATATTATTTTTCTTTTTCTTATAAGATTAGTGTTTTGGCTTATTTTCTTTTTTCATATTGAAATATTTTATTTTATTAAATTTGGTTTTTATTTTCTTTTTCAAATAGTATTTTATTTTCTTTTAAAATTAGTGTTTTATGTTATTTTCCTTTTCCAAATTGAAATATATATATATATATATTTTATCTTTGTTTGTTTTTAATTTTAATCGAGACAACTGTCAAAATCTGAATCAGAAAACTCGCCACATATCATGATTATATTAATTACTAACTTTGACGCATCTAATTATATAATAAAATAATATTATTCGAGATAGAAAACATTTGTCATATTTGTAAATAGTATATGGATCATAATCTATTTAATTTTCAAAATCTGGGTCTATTCGAGATATAAAACAATTGCTATATTTGTAAACAATATCTGGATTGAGATTCATATATAATAATATTTCAGATTTCTCAATACCATATATAGATATGACAGTTTCAAGGTTTGGAATTGGATATCCAGATTTGGATTTAGTTTACACATATTTTACCATTGTTAATATTTTCTTACAAATATTTTATATATGGATAACTGAAATAAAAATAAATATGAGTTTTAGGTCTTTTATATGATACTAGGTATTTACCCGCGCTACACTGCGGGATATTTTTTCTAGATTTGTATATATTTTTAATATAATAAAATTATTTCTATAATGTAAATGAGTATTATATTTATTTTTTATTAGCTTAAGTTATGTATTTATATGTTTTAAATCTGAATAAATATTATATATCATTAATTTTTTAAAATTATAATCTACTATCAAATTTGTTTAGCTAACTATCTATAAATGTATATGTAAGAATAAAACAATACATTTTTAAGTACCTTCATGCTAATGGTAAATGTAATTTATTTTCTCTACTAAATTGCTACTTCATCTTCTTTTGAAATTCTATAAAGCAAATTGCTATTTAAAAAAATATTAATTAATATGATTATTTTAAACTATAAATTTTATTTGTTTATCAAATATTTATTAAAGACATATGTTTCTAAAACTACCAAACTATAATCAATAACATTCGTATCAAAATCATTACTATTACTTTAGAACTAAATAGAAAGTTTTATTTGAACTGTTGAAATATCAATTTAGTTAAAGTTAAATAATTCAATTTTGGTTACTATAAACATATTGTAACTTTGAAAATTAGCACAGAGAAATTTTATCATTTTACAAAAACTGAGAAATTGCATTTTCCGACAAAACAAAAAAAAATATATTTTCCCACAAAACTGAGAAATCGTCTATTCCCGCCAAAACAAAAAAAATTCATTTTCTCGTCAAACCTGAAATTTCATTTTCCTACCAAAACAAAGAAATTACATTTTCTCTCAAAAACAAAAAAAATTACATTTTGCCGCGAGAACCTGTGTTTTCCCGTCAAAACAGAGAATCAAGTTTTTTCACCAAAACCAAAAAATTTCATCTTCCTGCAAAAACAAAAAAAATAGTATTTTCCCGTCAAAACCAAAAAGATATTTTTTCGCAAAAATCATCTATTCCCACCAAAACAAGAAAAATTATTTTTTTTCCGTCAGATCAGGAATCACGTCTTCCTACCAAAACCGATAAACTACAATTTTCCGCGAAAACCAAAAATTGTATTATCTCATGAGAAATTGCATTTCCCGCAAAAACTAAGAAATCATATTTTCCATCGAAATCCAAAAATCAAATTATATGTCAAAAACTGAAAATCTTCATTTCCCATCAAAACCAAGAAATTGTTTATTCCCGCCAAAATCGAGAAATTTTGCTTTTCTATCAACTCGAAAAATTGCGTTTTCTGCCAAAATTGTCAAATTACAATTTTTCGCAAAAATCAAGAAATTACATTATCCATCAAAAGCCGTAAAATTACATTTTCTATCAAAACCGAGAAATCGTATTTTTCGTCAAAATTGAAAAGTTGCATTTTCCCCGCATGTTCTCGTCAAAATCAATTTTTTATTTCTCACCAAAACCAAAAATTCATATTTTTCCGCCAAACCCGAGAATTCGTTTTTTTTTTTCATAACCGAGAAACTTTGTTTTCCTACCAAAACTGAAAATCACATTTTTCTACTAAAACCAAGAAATTCTCTATTTCCGCCAAACCCAAGAAAATTTGTTCTCGGTAACCAGTGGAAATGCGAATCTCCAAGCTGTGGTGGTCTGAGTTTCTCCTTATTTGCTTTCGCCTTCTATTTTTTTTTGTAAACTTTGAGCTTTTTAATGGGTTAGCAAAATAGTAAATTGATTTTATTAGTGTGTTAATAATATGTATTATTGTTATGTTTTTATTGGTTCAAATTTTTGCTGATGTGTGAGCTTCTTATAACATAACGCTTTTTGTATTGTTGTTATGGAAGCATAATTGATGATGAGTCTACACTTTCTTCAATCATATACGTATCTATCAAGCAAACACATAGGTAAAAATTTTAATTTTTTTTTTGCTGTTATTTATTATTTGAGTTTCGGTTTGGCAAAAATATAAAACAAATATTTAATTTTATTATTTGTTGTTATTTATTATTTAGGTTTGGCAAAAAAATAAAACAATTTTTTTTATTTGCTGTTATTTATTATTTGGGCTTGAGCTTGACCAAAAAATAAAACTAAAATTTGGATTTTTAATGGGTTTCAGTTTAAATGTTAAATATATTGATGACTTCTATTAATGAATTGTTTTTATTAGTATTTTTTTTTGCTGAAGTGTCATCTCCTAAAAGCTTGAAAATGCTGATATGTCAAGTCATGGAGAGACTTATGGATTATTGTTGTGTTGAATGATATTTCATATTTGTTCAAAAATACTACCCTAAGTTTAATTTTTTTTAAAAAAATTAGTATTTTATTTAACTATCTTCAATTTTTAAGATCGAACATATATAAACTATTAAAATTATTTTGTACGTATGTATATTAAAATCTAATTAATTTTAGTTTTTGTTAATGAAACTGTCCCAAATATTTATTATCAAAAAGAGAAAGTGAGATATCTCATAGGTGAAAAGTAATTCATCAGTCTCGGAGGATCTAATTGGCGCCCCTTTACTATTTCCCATCTCCTTCTTCGGATTCTATTTTCTATTCAAATCGAAAAAGTAGAAATTGAATCCCTAGAAAAATTTGACACACTGTTCACAAATCCTTCCTCTGCGCACTGATCTTCTAGATCTACACAATCTTTAAGGCTGTTTCGTTGTTTCGATTCCAATGGCGACGAGAAGGCGTACTTTACTCAAGGTCATTGTCCTCGGCGATAGCGGGTAATGGAGGCTGATTCTTATCTATTCCTTTATTTTTTGTTTTTTTTTTTGTTTTGCGATTCGTTGATGTTTGATTTTGATATGTGATTGTCGCTTTCCAGGGTTGGTAAGACTTCCTTGATGAATCAGTATCCTTCGATTAAACTTTTTTCTCTAATCTGCAATTTCTTTGATGGTTAGGGCTAATTAGAAGCAGATTCGTACTTTGTTCGTGGGTATATATTGGAGATATGAGAGTTCTGTTTCTTTACACTTTTCATTTCTGTGAACCCTTTGTTTGAGATGTATTTGGGGTTCTTAATGGGTGATTTTAGATATGTGCATAAGAAGTTTAGTCTGCAGTACAAAGCGACTATTGGTGCTGATTTCGTAACGAAGGAGCTTCAGATTGGGGAAAAGCTTGTTACTTTACAGGTGGGTTTTTTCTTGTTTAGTGTTTTCTTTCAGATTACTTAATCAAGATTTCACCTTTTTAATGTGTTGTTTGGTTTTAGATTTGGGATACTGCTGGACAAGAAAGATTCCAGAGTCTTGGTGCTGCGTTTTACAGAGGCGCGGATTGTTGTGCCCTGGTTTATGATGTTAACGTGTTGAAGTCCTTTGACTCTCTCGAGAATTGGCATGAGGAGTTTCTTAAACAGGTTCTTAGGGATTCTCATTCTTTCTATCAAACTTTGCTTATCATTTGCGTTGGCATGCTTCATTGTTATACATGGTACATAGGAACTTGCTACTTTTGTTTTAGTAGGAATTGTTAGCTTTGACTATTTAGAGTCGCAATCTCAGATTTTGATTAACATTTTGATTCTACATACCCATAGCCAAACTCGTTTCTGATGATGTGGTTAGAAGAGCTTTTGGTTATCGTTTGTATCTCTATTTGGCAATACAGTTGACGTTGGCTCTGGTTTTCCTTGTTTGTTATGATAAATACATGGAACGTTAATATGCTACTTTTGTTTTGATAGGAATTGTTAGCTTTGAGTATTTAGAGCCGTTATCTCTATATTTTGGTTAACATTTGCTTATACAAACCTGGAGACAAACTCTGTTTTGATGATGTGGTTAGAAGAGCTTTTTGGTTATCTTTTAGTATCTCTTTTGGTTCTGAAGACTATATCTGAAGTTTTGTTTTCCTAACAAGATGATTGAGCAGTGTAACATGTTTCTATGTTTGAACTTTTGAATGCTCATTTGCCTTTTACCTGGTCATCGATTTACTGGTTTAGCCAACTAGCAACTAATTATTTAGAATTAATTAGTGTATAAACCGAGTGCCTTATTGTTCAGTTTGTTTTCCTGGACTCACACTTTCAATCCTTTAACAATTTATAATATGTTGAATTGTATTAATTCCCTGTTTCCGTGGCATCGTCTCGTGCTGCACAGGCAAGTCCATCGGATCCAAAGACATTTCCGTTTATAGTGCTTGGAAACAAGGTTGACATAGATGGAGGGAGCAGTAGAGTGGTAAGCGTAATTATCAAGAAACGTTTTTCCAACGTGCCGTTGAGTCTTTTACTCTGTTCTAGTTTCATTCTTAATAACTTACAGGTCTCTGAGAAGAAAGCAGCTGACTGGTGTGCTTCAAATGGTAACATACCCTATTTCGAGACATCAGCAAAAGAAGACTTCAACGTTGATGAGGCATTCTTTACCATTGCCAAAACAGCTCTTGCAAACGAGCATGAACAGGATATGTAAGTTTTCTCTTTGCTTCTGCGCTAATATATGAGAACTTGGAAACCATGAAATAATCTTTGACCGAATTTAAGTTACAACTGCTGAAATATAGAACATAGAGATAGAGATCATGGATACCAATAACTTTCTTCTTTCCAAACGTTTTGGCTCTACCATTTGGATTGTACAATTCTGAGAAGTGCAGAATCTCAATCAAAATCTGTAAATGACGTTTGAATGAAAGCAGAAATCCTTTCCTAAGTTTGGTGTTTACTGGAATGAGTAATTCCTTAACTTTTAAGACAGAGACATTCGTTATATGCTCATCTCAGATTTGTCTACCTCTGGATTCTAGAGTCTGTGTGATTCGAATTGAAAACCAAGAATGCTTAGAAACAGCTTAATACTTAATCTTGGTCCTCATACACAACTGTTTCGTTTTTTTGCAGATACTTCCAAGGCATACCAGAAGCTGTGACTGAGAACGAGCCAAAAGGGGGTGGTTGCGCTTGCTAAACCGGAGATTTAAGGATTCATTTACATTCGATTTTGATGCATTTGCTCGTTATTCATTTAAGGTTGGTGTACTTTTTGAGTTGCAGAACGATAAGCTTGTAGAAGCATTTCTTTTTCACCACTCGATCATATATTAATTGATAGGAGGAGTCTGTATGATCAATCGATTCTGCTGGATATATTGTTATTTTCCGGAAGAAGAACCGTTCTTGCTCTTAATCCATATATGTTCATTTTGCATGAATAATTTATTTCTTTGGAGTTTTGTATTTCTAAGTAGAACCGGCTCTTGGACCAATCTTGTCAACTGTCAAGCATCATATATAAGTCCTCTTCAGCAGTTTGACACGACGCCATTCCCTTCTCGCTTTTTGGCCTTCTCGCCTTCTCCCGATGCGCTGTCTTCCTTCCCAACAAGTTTCACCTCCTCCTTTCTAATCGATTCAGTATCCAAAACAAAACAAAGATGGTGATAGAGAATAATTCAATTTAGTAAAACAATAAAAGAAAGACGATGTGCTTATTCATGCGTGAAATAGGGATGTTAATTTAGGTTAAAGTTCGAAGTCGGCCCGGCCTGGCTCTGAAAAATATAGGATTGGGTTTTGGTATTAAAGTTTCAAAAAAATCGAGCTTTTTAGGTTAAACTCATTCAGACTAAGCCCATTTGGACTTAAGCCCGATCTTTTTCGAGCTTACCCGAAAAACCCTGATTTTTGTATTATAATTTATTTAGAAATTTTTATTAATAAATTATTTTTATAATTTAAAAAATAGAGTTATTAATTTTTTTATAATACTTTTTATTAATATAAAACCTTGATTTTTAGTTGTGTGTTTTCATATAAATATCAAGGCTCAAACTAAATTAGTTTTAAGAAGCACTCATACATTCAACCTGAAGATTCTCATCTCGATTATACTATTTCTACTATTTACATTACGTTTTTATTTATTTATATTTGATATTAGAATTTATATGAATTCATAAGTTAAAGTTTTGCTTTCCGATTTGATAAAACTATATTTATGATTATTTAAATTGGGATTTAATTCTAATAACTATTTTTTCTTTTAGTTTATTTTATATTTAATTATTTTTTTAAAAAAGCCTAAAAAAGCCCGATAATCATGTTAGGGCCGAGCAGGGCTTTAAAATATAGGGCCAATATATTATCGGGCTGAACTGAATCGGGCTTAAATATATGTGGGTTTTACGGGTTTTGGGCCAGGCCAGCCTGTTTGACATGCCTAGCGTGAATTGTCGATGAAGGCATGAAAGAGCTGACCATTCTTTGCCTAATACTTTTAGTTTTTATAATCGAATTTTAAGAGGAAATTGCATCATTTTTGATGTTTGAAGCTGTGGCCGGAAATCCAGCCACCAACGATCAGCGCCACCATCATGTTAGCTGCTGAGAACAACCCTTATGCCTCCACTTCCACATCCTTCATGTCATAATAACTTTACATATGCGATGGTTTATGCAGTTTACTATTCGTTACTCGTATAATGTCTTGCTGATATGATCAAATTTCTATCTTGGTTTTAAAATTGTTGATTCGTAGATAAAAAGAAAAACTCTTCTAATTTTATCTTCGAAAATCTGGTAGAAAGTCGCTGATCCTGCTAAGCCCATTTCCACTACAGTTCTAATAATATATATATATATATATGTGTGGCTCGTGAGATTTAAGTGACCAAATGTTGTAGATGCTAATCTAATCTTGTACAAAGAGATCTAATTTCTTAATTGGGTTGTATTTTTAGGTGTAAACTGGCTTTTAGGTGGTGTACAGAAATGGGTGACCTCAACGGTTCAAGTTTATCACTTCATATTACAACAATAGTGCATTCTCCAATTTATCTAAGGTTTGCTTTCAAAATAGTATTGTTTAAAGCATAAATCTTTGTACAATGGTATCATTTGATCAATTGAATAAAACTTTCCAGGTTGTTTTGTTTATTTTTTGGACTTTACAAGGTAAGTGATTTTGTTAAAGTTAATTGCTGTTAATAAATGTGAATGTTGACGATGTTGATTGATCATTTTGGCAACTTTGATTATCTTTTTCGAAAAATTAGATGGGATTCAGTTATGAGAATGAGCATCACCTTCGAGATTTAATTTTATCTGAAGCATTTCTTTATTACAACCCTCTTCTCTTGTGGTAAGTTTATACTTATAGATAGATGTGGCATATGGAAATCATTGTCCCAACTAGCATGCCAACTTATCTATATCTGTATTCTCATGTGGAAGTAGCTTTGGGGGCTTCACAACCGGCGAGCTTGATGTCCTTATAATCTATATTGCAAATGTTATGTTTAGTACTTTACTCAGTGTACTCTTTGAATTCCAGACAAATATGCTTAAAGGTTGATGTTCTTAGACCAACCCCAATAGAAATCTTAAAAGATCTAAACAAATGTTCTTAATAATAAAAGTGAATAAAAAAATAGTTCATGGTGTCTTATATTTTAGACCAGTGTCTAAAATAAGACACCAGTGTCTAACTTAAGAACGCACACGTGGCAAGATGTGAGTGGACGGTGAAAAATTTCAGTTTCAGAATTGCATATTTATAATTTATATGCTTTCATGTAAAGTATAAACTTTATAAATTAATAATGTTGAGAGTTCGATATTTTATTAATCTATAGAGTTATTAATTTATCAGTTTTGGATAAAATAAATTGTTTATTAATAATTAATTAAAATAATATTTCTTTAAAATTTATAATATTTTTCAAAATTTTTATTAGAAGATTAGAAATAAATGATAAAAATATTTTAACTTTAGTACAAAAAACAACAATATACTTATATTTAATATATTATCATTATTATATAATTATATAAAATTATTTTATATGATGTTTATTAATTTATGATATAAATAGGACTATATTTTACATAAGGTTTCAAAAAAATATTATCTTATTAATTTATTAATTTATATTAAATTTTGGATCGGTCCAACTCGGGACCAAACAAAAGTATTGATTTTTATCGAATTTATTAATTTATAAATTTTTTTATTGTATTACATTTTTGAAAATGTAATATGTTTTAAAAGTTGTTAACAAAAGTTTTTACTTAAATTTATTAATATATATATATATATATATATATATTTTTTTTTTTTAAGACACCCATCAAAAGTGTCTCCATTGTATGCTATAAAAACAACAAAAATTACAAAGTGTCTTATATACAAAAAATACACAAAATATTAATAATTAATCAATAAAATACCCACTTATAGTGTCTCTATTGGGCTTGCTCTTACTAATGCAGGTGCTCCTGTACAATGGTTTTGCTTTGGTTCTGATATTTCCCATCGACATCTTCTACTTGTGATAGTTTTTGCTAAGAACATTATGTAGCAGGATAGGTTTTCCACTTCATTACTAAAGTATTTTTTTTTGGACAATAGTAGTTCTTTATTTTGATGGTGTTCTGTTTGTAGTAAAACAACTCTCTTGAAAGTAGAGTAATTATTTAATTAATGAAACTAGATGAGTACTCGCGTGATGCACGGATTTTTGTTCACAATATAATTTATTAAAAGTGTAATTACACAATATAAATTTTTCTTAAGGATGTTGTGTATTTGAATAAACATACAATATGTATTTACATATTATATGGATATTAAAAATATATGTGATAAATGGTTTATTGATAAGGAAATGTTAAATAGATATACTGCAAATTAGAGAAGTAATATATAACAAAATTTAATTAGAGAAACTCTTCAAGCACAACATAGGTAGAGACGACCTTTTTAACATGTTGTATTTGTTCACGACGCAGATTTACACAATAGCAATGCTGTCATTTTATATTTTTATGAGCTTAAATAATTGATTTATAATTCTAATTTATACACCTGCATTAAATATTTTATAAATAAATATATTAGAACTTTGATATTTTATTAATTTAAAATTATTAATGGATCACGTTTGAATAAAATAAATTATCAAATAATCATTAGTTTATAAAGAAATTATTTTAAAGTTTATTATAATATTGTATAAATTTTTATTCTAACTTTTTAGGTTCAAAATATCAAATAATCGCTATTTTTATATTTGTATAACTGTTTTATAATAATAACTTATAATATTAAATAGAAATAAGAAAAAACTATTAAATAAGAAACATAAAATTTTTTTTCTCGATTTTAAAAAACTACCAAAAATAGATATTTAATAATATTTTTTGGATATTAAATATATATTGTTGTTAAAATATATTATCTAGTACTTCATATTTTTTATATTCTTAGTATTATGATTAATACATTAAATTTATGCATTAAATATATTTTATAATCATAATATCTTAATACGTAATGCATCAAGTACATTAAATTCCCAATTAAGTTTAATAATTTGTATCATAATTGTTTTTTAAAATGACACATGTCATTTCCACAATAAACCAAAATGATGAGGTGACACTCATATGGAGAGAGTTAGCCATCTTTTATAGATTATTATAAGCTTGTGTATTATTCCTTTTTTAAAGAATGTTTTTGTATAATTCTGTCTTCAATTAATAATAGTACACAAAATTGGAATTCTAAATAAATAATTCAAAAAATATAATACAAAAAATATCAAAATATTAAAATAAATATTCTTATCATAAAATCCTCACATATGCGTTGATAATTTTTTAGAAGGCAAGAAAGTGGAGAATTCATAGGAGTCGCATGGAGAGTGGACCACGCAATTGGAGTTCGTCGAGCTTAGATTAACAATAGAGACTCAGTCTTCCAATTCTATTTTTTTTTCATTATGTCAGTATGCACATTTTAATGTTTTGCTCTCGGGTTAAATTTAGACTTATTTGTTAAACAGATTATTCATAGCATATGATGAAATTTTGATTATTTGTCTACATGAATGTGCAATGCCATCACTATACAATTCAAGTCTTCTATTATTATACAAATTTGGAGTGTTATATGTAATAATCTGATTCTATACTACATAATTCTAGGTGGAGGGAGAAACCAACGAAAGGAGTAGCGGTGATTCCAAAGGAACATAACTTTTCTAAAAAGCAGAAACTTCCAATTATCATTGCAAGCAGTATCAGCAAAACTTGAGTTATGGTGGAAGAAAATATGAACAAGAATGAGAGTAACTTGGTTCGGATCAATTACTGAGGACTGCTAATAGTCGTTGACTCTCTCTCTCTCTCAGGCAAGTGAGCAAATCTGAACTTCGATAAGATTGGTTGCAAATGTAAAAACCAATTTAGATTTATCACACTTAAGAAAAAAAATTAATACTTATTTATGAGTACACTATTTTATACTAAATATCTCATGGCTGATAACAATCATAATTCAAAAAGAACTAAACGACTCATTCAGTAATTTTTGAAATTCATAATTCATCATCTTTAGTTGGTTAAATTGCATAAAAACACTACTAACTATATTTTTAACCAATAAGTATTTTTTTTAAGCTGATAATGTAAGTATTATGAATCGAAACTCACAGCGTAGCGTGTATATTCACCTAGTATTCCATAATATTTCAACTGGTATACTATTGTTGCCCAATATGTCACATTTTAATTTGAAACTCAAGGATGCCAAAATGTTTAACTTTTTACTTTTTTCTTTCTTTTTTCGACTTCCTACGTTTATTTTGTTCAAGTTAAAATTGGGTTATTGGTACTCTTTTTTTTGCTTTTTCAAATAAAATATAGTTAAAATGAAAATTCGTGATAATTGTAACACAAAAGTCGAAAACTACTTCAAAACTGATTCTCACTCACTCGCGCAGGTTCATTCCAACTACTCACAAGTCACAAGTCTTTAATAAGGGTTTTTTTTGTTTTATATGATTTTTCCTTTTGTTAAACAATATATCTTTTCTTTTATTTAATCAAAAACAATTTTCAATTTTAACATTCAAATATATCTATAGCAAGAGCCAACCAGTTTTTACACTAGATAGACATAAGGGTATTTTAACTCTAGAAAAATAGTGTGAAGAACTAGTCAGAATTGGGCTTATCATTCAATTTGTGACGTGGATGATCCGCTATATCCATTGTTGATTTCACTACGATCAATTATCTGAAACGTTTTTGCAAAGTTTGTTATAGTAGTTAGAATTGTACCAGCCATGCAATTCGTACTACATGGCAAGATTCATCTACCACTCTATAACGAAGGCTTGATAAGTGTCTTGACTTCATCAAATTCAAATAAAAAAATTGAATACCTGCACATATGGATATAGATGCTGCAAATGGACTTTCTACAATTGTTGCCGAAATGAGGTTTAAGAGCACGGTAGGGTGCTAAACTTCTTTTTGAGAAGTGTTAGAACACTAAATCCTGCCAGAAAAAGCATGCATTCGTACTGCCAAAGAGCATATCAAAGATTTGGAACAACACAAACCCTTTTTAGGTTTTTCTGATGACAACTTTTCTCTACATAAATGTCAATAAGTTCTTACTGTTTGAATATACTCAGACATCTTTGGAAGTTGCACTTTTACCATCATGTTTTATTTCAAGAAACTGCTCATAGAGCATCTTTATTGGTTTGTTTTTAATAGAGCGTATCTTAAACATATTTTATTAATAAAAAATAAACTAAATAGATGATGACACTTGGTTAGACACCGCCTCTTACATTTCTCAACAAGTGATCTCTTTCGATATTTTTCTATCTTTTCTTCCTTTATATTATTTTATATTTTTTTTATTATAAAAATAGGATTGTATCTAGGTTAGATACGACCAATGAAAATAGTTTAACATGCATATTTTTTTTGTTATCTTGTTTTTTTTTTAAATTAATTTTTAAAACTCTTTAGAGCATTGGAGGATCCCACATGAAATTTTTCCAAAATTTTAAGTATTACAAAAAATATATATTAAAAAAATAATTTTTGACAAAAAAAACAAAAAAACAAAATTGATCAATAACGTTATAACACGTGTCGAAAAAAGTGGGAAGAGTCGACTCTTGCAACTCTCTGCAAAGAACAGTTCTCTTAAAAAAACTTCTCCACATCACTTTTTTATATTTTTTTTTAATTTAAGAACCCCATATAATTTCTTGTTAATGGACACAGCTTCAGTAGATCTAATCGCTCTTAGAAAAGCTTTGCCATGGGAGCAGAAGGTTACCATATTATACAACGTCTATTCCACGTGTATTTCGAAGATTGATTTAGTACAGTGGTTAAGTTTCATTTTGCCTAATCATGTATATAAAGACGGTAACCAATGAGAAAAACCTTTCTAATAAAGGCGATTCATGATGGACATTTGATAAGTTATATAGAATACCAGAGTAATTTTCGAAAGCATTTTGCCATCTAGTACATCTTGATGTAGCGGATAATTGAACCAAGTTCACTAGTGGAAACAAGTGAAGAAGAACAAAGACTAAGATCATCATAGTCTTTGAAGATATTCAATCTACCTATTGTTATTATGGTTTCTTTAGAGCCATCTCCATAAGGTAAATCCGTGATCACTGTCCACCGTTGCTAATACACATCCCTTAATATCAATCCGGCTACTTCTATTAGTAATATGTTAGTGTGATCAATCGAAGAAGAAGAAGTGAAAATGAACAAATCTGTTTTTTTTTTTTTTTTTTTTTTTTCATGAACAAATCTGTTATTGATCGTGATGAGAGCAATTACATTTAATCTAACCAAGACTTAACCACACGATTTCGTGCAAACCGATTTTGTTGACGAGAATGTTTTTTACTTCGCAGTTAAAAAAGGGAATTTTATTTACGATATCATAATTCTTTAATATGTGAAAAGGGCCCATAAGGACTCTAAATGGTCTTACTATATATATGGGCCTTATAGGCTTTTTGATCTTTTGCTATTTTCACTCCACTTGCGAAACCTATCTTCTTCCATCTTCGCTCGTACCAAAATGACCTCCATGAACAAGACCTCATAAACCTTGGAAATAAACCTCTCTCAATCATCATCCTGATACTAATACGCGCGAAAAGCTATGGTAGGAGCTTCGAGAACAATCCTTTCCCTATCTCTCTCTTCCTCCCTCTTCACCTTCTCCAGACTCCCTCACGTTATCCCATTTCCCCGCCTCCACAAACCTTCCTCTAGATTCTACCAAGCTCTTCGCCCTCTATGCGCCGCCGCGACTGCTCCGACGGAAACGAATATCGCAGATCCAGACCAATTAAAGCACGCGATCCTGCTTGAGAGGCTTCGGCTCCGACATTTGAAGGAATCGGCGGCGAAACCACAGCAGAGGCCGAGTAGCGTTGTTGGCGTAGAGGAAGAGAAAAACAGTAAGAAGAAGAAGAAGATGGCTAAGAATTTCGAAGAGCTAGGTTTAAGCGAGGAAGTGATGGGGGCTTTGAAAGAGTTGAACATTGAGGTTCCTACGGAGATTCAGTGTATCGGAATACCTGCTGTTATGGAACGTAAGAGCGTCGTCTTGGGCTCTCACACTGGTTCCGGCAAGACCCTTGCCTACTTGCTTCCTATTGTTCAGGTAACTCGCCATTGTTGTTTTATGTGAGCTCCAAAGTCAAAATGTTGCAGCTTACAAAGTGTTCTGATCATGAATTGCTTCTTATCTAGTTGAATGGTTTCGTTTTGATTGAAATCGTTAAGGTCTAATTCTGAGGATTTGCTTGTACATGCATATGCTAATGGTGACAGTTTTGGTAGATTTTTTCATTTGATCGATCTTTAAAAGTAGATATAGAGAGATCTTGATTTGATTTGTTAGTGTATATTATTAGCTATTGCATTTCGAATGTTCGTGTTGATTCTTTCGAGTACTATATATGAAATTCGATATGGGGTTTAAGTTGTATTTGAATTGAATTGATTTCTGCAGCTGATGAGAGAAGATGAAGCATCTCTTGGTAAAATGACAAAGCCTAGGCGTCCAAGGACTGTTGTTCTTTGCCCCACAAGAGAACTATCTGAGCAGGTTACTTTTAGTTCTTTGCTTTGTCTCTTTAGTTTTCCAATGGATGTTCTAGCAGAAAAAACGAAAAGTTGGAATATTTGTTTTTCAGAAAGTCTTGGTTGCCTTCTTATAGGATAGAATTGGAGAATGATGTGATTTGTGATTTGAGTACTTATGCCAGTTTGCTATGTATCATAAATGGTGAAAAAAACTGATTAAAGAGTCTGCATTTAGGTTTACCGTGTGGCAAAGTCAGTAAGCCACCACGCGAGGTTCAGATCTATATTGGTTAGTGGTGGTTCTCGGATAAGACCACAGGAGGACTCTTTGAACAATGCGATAGACATGGTTGTTGGAACACCTGGTAGGATCCTTCAGCATATCGAAGAGGGTAACATGGTCTATGGAGACATTGCGTATTTGGTAATACTCTAATTTGGGTTCTTGACGTTATCTTCCATGATTCTATTTTGATTTTGAACAAAGGCCAATGAGAATCTTGCTTTTACACAGGTGCTGGATGAGGCAGACACTATGTTTGATCGTGGTTTCGGTCCTGACATTCGCAAATTCCTTGCCCCATTGAAACAGCGTGCGTTAAAAACCAATGACCAAGGATTTCAGACCGTCTTAGTGACTGCTACTATGACAACGGTATGCATGATGTTGATTGCGCTCGATATTGCTATTGTCATGATTTATACATTTCTTTGCTCCTTACGACTTGAACTTAAGATGAGGTAATGTTAATGAATGAAATTTTGTGAGTTTTCAGGCTGTTCAGAAGTTAGTCGATGAGGAGTTTGAAGGGATAGAGCATTTGCGAACATCATCATTGCATAAAAAGATAGCAAACGCTCGTCATGACTTCGTCAAGCTTTCAGGCAGTGAAGATAAGCTAGAAGCACTTCTACAGGTAAATGCATCATTAAGATTCTGATTTTTGGAGAGCAATCAAATGACATGTTAATGTTCTTCGTTTGAGTGCAAACATGTGGAAGTTATACACACATTGTACTTATGCATTACTTTTGCTTTGATGAGAATGCAGGTTCTTGAACCTAGCTTGGCCAAAGGGAGCAAGGTGATGGTCTTCTGCAACACATTGAACTCCAGTCGCGCCGTTGATCATTATCTTTCTGAAAACCAGATATCTACTGTGAACTATCACGGTGAAGTTCCAGCAGAACAGAGGTGAGAACTAAAACTCATTTGCCTTAAACGTAGCCCATTTCTTGATGAACGCATTGCTTAAATAAAGGCGTTATGTCGGTTTTGCATTTCACCTATCCAGGGTTGAGAACTTGAAGAAGTTCAAGGACGAAGAAGGAGACTGTCCCACACTGGTGTGCTCGGATTTGGCTGCAAGGGGTCTTGACCTTGACGTAGATCATGTAATCATGTTTGATTTTCCAAAGAACTCTGTAAGTGAATTAACCGTATTCTTTCTTCTCTTAACTTGTTGATTCACGTTTTTTGAGACCTTAATTTCACTTTTTGAAACTTGAATTGCTTAGATTGACTACCTTCATCGCACTGGAAGAACAGCTCGTATGGGTGCTAAAGGTTTGTTCCTTAGCTCTACACTACCACAGTTTCAAGACTCTTCGTATCTCATAGCTTCTTAAAGTGTTAATGTGTGTTTCTCTCTTTACAGGAAAAGTTACGAGTCTGATAAGCAGGAAAGACCAAATGTTAGCAGCGAGAATCGAAGAAGCAATGAGAAACAACGAGGGCTTGGAGTCACTAACAAACGATAATGTGAGGAGAGACGCCGCAAGAACCAAAATCACTCAAGAGAAAGGAAGGAGCGTTAAGCAGATCAGAGAAGTGAGCAAGCAACGAAACACCAGAGACAGAGCCACATCATCTCCTCCTGCAAAATCATCAGGTGTGAGGACACCAATAAGAAAGTCAACTTCAGTTAGAAAGTCAACTTCGTCTTCGAAACCCGGAAGAGGATCATCATCATCAGAGAAATCTTCAAAGCCGAAAAGAAAAATATTAAAGACGGTTGGATCAAGATCTATTGCTGCGAGGGGGAAGAAAGGTTCAGAGAGAACAGGTAAGAAACTTAGTGTAGTTGGGTTCAGAGGTCGGTCTGCTGCTGCTAGAGCCTCTTCTTAATTACATTGTGGTAACTTAAAAGGAATGTTAAAAGTCAGTAGAAAAGTGAATTATGAACGGATTATAATTTCAAAAGCGTTAAAGATGAATCAATCATCTTGAGAGACCATAATATGTTCTTTCTTTTAAGAATTTCATATCGAGAGAAGAAATCCACTTTTGCCTTGGCAGAAACTCGTCAACTTTGTATATGACATTCTATGTTGTGTAATATATTCGGGTTGAGACGTAGAATGGTTCTTTATAAAAATTGAGGTATGGTGTGGATTTCTTTAGATTGTGATGTTATAAAGTGGGGAGAATAGCTAAACATATGGTTAAGTGTAGAGTTGAAGGGGACGTTCATAATAACAAAATATCCTACATCGACTGATTGAGTCAAAAAGATTCCGAGGAAAGCAACGGTCACTAGTCTCAAAAAGATTCCGAGGAAAGCAACGGTCACAAGTCACAACCATACTTGAAATGTTTGAAGGATCATTACTAACCACATTGGATTGATGTTTGAAGGGCTATTACTACAGCAGTTGATTGCAGTTTTTACTAGGTAGAAAGCTGTAAGCGGATCAATCTAACATAGAAAGTTCATGTTTCTGGAGAGATTGAAGAATCCAAAGTTGACTCTGCCCAAATGAATTTTAATTTTCTTATCCTGGGGCTTGGTATACATCAAACCTGATTCCTCTTCCACCACTGTCAAGTTTATGCGCAATCTCTCTTTAATCTTTCCTTGTATAAAAAATGGTCAAGTTTAAGAACGGCAGCCTGAGTCCCATAAAAAGGACTATGATGGTGGGTTACACTCATGAAACTGTCTCCTCATAAGGAACACGAAAGTGAGGATTCATGAATCTGTCTCTTCATAAGGAACACAAATAGTGAGTAGCACCGTTCTTAAGCTATAAAAGAAAAAGAAAAGTCGATAAAAATAAATAAAAATGATACCCTAGAAAGGTAGGAAGAAATCAACAAAGGAAAGAGAAAATAAGAGACTTGTATCGAGATTTTCTATGTTCATGAGTTTGCAAAGGAAAGAAACTATAAGTTCTTTGATCAATACACCCTCGATGAGACTGCATGCCTAAATGAAATAAAGGGATCAACAATGCAGAATTCGGGGATTTCTCTAAGGGATACTGAACGGTATCTGGAACGATTGCTAAGCTTGTGGTAAGTATATTGACATACTATCTAATGTTGATTATGTGGTATGTGGGTTCAAAAGTGTTGATCAATCAATGTGGCGTTCCAGAGAGTTCATAAGTTTCTGTTTTTTCAACCTCGACTCTGTTCTTAGTATTTGCTTGAGGCCAAGCAAAATGATAAGTCTGGAGAAGTTGATATACTGCGTTTTTAAAGCTTTCTAACCCAAGGTTTTCAATGGTTTTTCGAGTCAAAGTGTGTATTTAGAGTCTTTTAGTCCTTTTATCGAGTCTTTTCAGGTTTTAGGTTGCCTTGGGAGAAAATAAATCATTTTGGGTGCAAACAAGCATACGGAGATGCAGAACTATGTAAAAACGCCTGAAGTTTGGCAATCGTTGAGGCATTTACCACCGATGGATCGTGCTGAGTTTTGGATACAAGCTAGATCTTTGAGTTAGCTTTCCTGTGGAAGTGGTTTGAAGTCGATCCAACGGTGCAATCTAAGGTTATGGCGATTTTGGTAAAGACATGTTAGTCTAGCAGAAAATTCTACATGAAAGCATCAAAGTGGGGGATGTCAGAACTGCAGATCGACCACTCCAGTCCTGTGGGGATTTTCTTGAAGACTGACATAAGACTCTACCGGAGAGCATCAAAGTGCGGATGCCAGAATTGCAAATCGACCACTCTAGTGTTTGCGATAATTTCTAGCAATTTTTCGTATTTCGACCTAAAACGACCTATGACCTATATATAATTAATTTTGGCCATTGTTTCTGCCATAACCTCTTCTTTAACATTGATACTTTTAGCTTTTTGCAATTTGTGAGCTTTGGAGAGATGATTTTTCTACTCTACATCTATGAGAAGATTTTTGAACCCCATTTGATTTCTATTTTATTTATTATAAATTTCTCTTCATCTCTTTGCTTTTTTTTTCTTATTCCATGTCTGGTTAATCCATTAGGTAGGTTTAGGGTTTCAAAATGATTATTAATCATTGAATCAGACATAAATAGAGATTTATTCATTTGTCGTCTTCATCTATTATTGATCCCATTGCTGAAACTTGATTAGCTACCTAGTTTCTGATTTTAGGTTGTTTAGTGCATCAAAAGTGTTTGTTTAAAAATCTGAAATAGTATAGGTGATTAGATTGCCCTTAACCAACACAAACTGATGTTAAGGCAATATGTAAACTGATGTAAGCATGGCTGCTTATGCATCAGTACTTGACAAGGAGAAGGACAATGGAGCTTATGGGGATAAAGCTAAGCTTGTAGCTGAGGGAGAAGGAGACTTTGTAGCTGAGCTTGGAGACACTAGGGACCAGCTAATTCGTCTTAACCATCAAGAGGACCAGTTTAATCATTTAAAGGGCGAACCGGTTCAATACAAGGAGCAACTTATTCCACCTAAACCGCCAAATCATTTACATGGACCAACATGTGCATATATGGAGCCAGCTATGGAAACTACTCTTACCAACATATCATGCGACCAATCATTTTTTTATAAAAACCAAAGAAAGTTATTTTGTTTCAAAGAAAGTTATCTTCTGAACCAAATTCTGTTCCTGCTTTTCTTCTTGTGTTTTGTGGAATCAAAGCTTGAAGAATTGGGTAGAATTTATTAACTCTTGTGAGGATTAGCCCTTGAGTTAGTAAAGTCTAAACTCTTGTGCTTGGAGTTCAAGTACAACTGGTTTCCATCATTCAAACCACTCCTCCATCAACTTAAGCTTCTAAGTGAAGATTTCAAGGAAACAATACTTGAAGCATTTCAAGGCTTGTATCATTGGTATCAGAGCTAAAAGCTCCTATCCCAGGTGTTTTCTATTCCTATCTTAAGTTTTTGCAATTTGTTTCATTCAGTTTTTGAATTTTGATTCATATAAATCAAAAACAAAAAATCATAAAAACTGTTTTACTGTTTTTCCGCTGAATTATCTTGTTTGAATTTTATAAACTTCATAAAAACTCAAACAAATATTTTTTCTTTTAATTCTGCTTTATTAAACTCTTGAAAACAACAAAAAATTATTTTCTTTAAATTAACATATCATTTGTTAATTTTTAAAACAGTTTTCCTTCAACTGGTCAAAAACTGTTTAATCTGTTGTTCTTGTTTGCTTTCACTTAAAACCTGTCTTTGATTTGTTTTGATTGAAATTTTGCAAGGTACAATGGGAGATGTACCACCAGTAGACCCTCTACAAGTAATGATGGCGATGATGCAGACCCAATTCGCAGCCATCAATGAGAATCTCACATCTCTAAACACAAGGATGCAAAGGATAGAAACTCCTGAGCGACTACCTCCCCTTTTGCCAAGAAGAAATATTCCTGGAGGTCAACAAGATGCAAATCGTGTAGAGGATCCCCCTGATGTACCACCACCAGCACCAGACCTTTCACAACAGGCTCAAGAAATTTTAAACAGAAGGGACAATGAGAGAAACAGGCCCTATAATGAAGATAGACACTTACCACCAGAAGTGAAGCTGCTTGCACCAACCTTTGCTGGAAAACTAGATCCTGCTGCTTACTTGGAGTGGGAGAGAAGGATGGAGCACCTGTTTGAGTACTATGCCTATACAGAGCCTAAGAAGATTGCCCTTGCAGTAGCTAGTCTCACTGATCATGCATTAGCTTGGTGGGACAGAGAAGTTGCTGAAAAGAGAAGGCTCAGATATCCACAAATCACCAGATGGAGTGACATGAAATTTGAGCTAAACAGAAGGTATGTACCCCCACATTACCATAGATATTTATTAAAAAAGTTTAGGTCTCTATTTCAGGGTTCTAGGAGTGTGGAGGAATATTATGAGGAGTTTGATCTTCTAAGAAGTCATCTAGCCTTAGAAGAAACAGAGGAGTCTTTGATGTCTCAATTTATGGATGGGCTACAAGAAAGAATTCAAAGAAATGTGGAGATGCAGCCTTACCATTCCTTACCTGAACTTCTACATCTAGCTGTTCAAAGAGAGAAACAAATCAAGACGAAGGCTACAACAAGAAATCGCTCAAACAACAATGCAGCTTGGAATCAACAACAAGCTCAAAAAACTCAACAAACTCAGCAGCAGCAGCAGCCAAACCCCACGCCATTTATAGTCAAAGGAAAGGGGATAGCCATAGAATCACGCTTTAAACCTCATGGCCAAGAGCAAGGTAAGTCTAGTAATTCAACTAGAACTCATGATATTATTTTTAAATGTCTAGGCAGGGGTCATGTATCAAAAGAATGTCCTAAGAAGAGGACCATGATTCTTAGACAAGATGGTGGTTATGATTCTCAAGATGAGGAGATGGCTGAAAACTCAGAAGAAGAAATCACCAACTTTGCTGAAGAAGGAAGCCTTCTAGTAATTCAAAGGGCGCTAAGTGCACAACCAATCTTTGAAAATCAGGAGCAAAAAGATAACCTCTTTCACACCAGATGCACTATTAAAGACAAGGTATGTCATTTAATCATTGATAGTGGTTCATGTGCTAACATTGCAAGTGTTTCTTTGGTAGAGAAACTTGGTCTTCAAACAATGCAGCACCCTAGACCCTACAAGCTCAAATGGTTAAATGATAAAGAGGAGTTAAAGGTGTCAAAGCAAGTCAATATATCATTCACCATTTGGCAGTATAAGGACGAAATATTGTGTGATATTGCACCTATGCAAGCTGGCCATGTCTTACTTGGAAGACCTTGGCAGTATGATAGAGAAGTCAGCCACAATGGGAGAAAAAATGAGTACTCTTTCCACCTTAACCATTGTAAGCATATCTTAGTTCCTTTAGCTCAAAAAGATATCAGAGTTTTACAAATAAAAGCTAAACAGGATTCTGGAAATAAGGCTAGTTATTTTGCAACTCAGGAATTTTTAGATTTAATTCCACTAGATATAATGCACTTGCCTTTGCCAAGAGACTGTTTTGCAGGTTTTAAAGAAGAAAAGTTTAAAACTATGAAGTCTAAGGAGCAGAACATGAGCAACCATGGAAGGAACCTGATGTTTATTAAGGAGAATCCGCCATTAGATGGTTTTAAACCAACACTGGAGCTGTCCAAGGCCAAAAACATTCCCATCACCTCCTTACTAAATCACTTATACCCCAACCAAACAATGCACCCTCAAGGTAAGTTTCAAAATTTCAAAAAAATTCCAGGAACTAACTTAAGATTATGTGATGCAGGTACTTATGTTTTGAGGACAAAACCTCCTCAAGAGGGTGAATATAATGTAAGCATGGCTGCTTATGCATCAGTACTTGACAAGGAGAAGGACAATTGAGCTTATGGGGATAAAGCTAAGCTTGTAGCTGAGGGAGAAGGAGACTTTGTAGCTGAGCTTGGAGACACTAGGGACCAGCTAATTCGTCTTAACCATCAAGAGGACCAGTTTAATCATTTAAAGGGCGAACCGGTTCAATACAAGGAGCAACTTATTCCACCTAAACCGCCAAATCATTTACATGGACCAACATGTGCATATATGGAGCCAGCTATGGAAACTACTCTTACCAACATATCATGCGACCAATCATTTTTTATAAAAATCAAAGAAAGTTATTTTGTTTCAAAGAAAGTTATCTTCTGAACCAAATTATGTTCCTGCTTTTCTTCTTGTGTTTTGTGGAATCAAAGCTTGAAGAATTGTGTAGAATTTATTAACTCTTGTGAGGATTAGCCCTTGAGTTAGTAAAGTCTAAACTCTTGTGCTTGGAGTTCAAGTACAACTGGTTTTCCATCATTCAAACCTCTCCTCCATCAACTTAAGCTTCTAAGTGAAGATTTCAAGGAAATAATACTTGAAGCATTTCAAGGCTTGTATCATAAACAAATCGAATCTGATCGTTAATGCTTGTTTACAATTCTAAATTTAGACGACGGTTTAGAATCTTAGATTGCTGGATAAAGTCTTTGATAACACGACAATGAATTAGTTATACATTCATGTTTGAGTTCAAGACTGTGTTTATATGTTTCCTGAATAATTGTCTGGTTCATGATCTCTTATTCCTACGAATTGTCGCTGTTTTAATTGATCTTTCTACAGTTAAATAGCTATTTTTGTTTCACATTGCATCCAACAAACCATATCATTATCTTAGCTTAATTTCACCCTAAAGAATCATAGTGAAACATTGGTCTCTGTGGATTTGATGGCATCTATACTACTGCAATTGTCTGCACACTTACTGTAGCATCCGTATCCGATAAAATATGGAATGATCGTACCGGACAGGGTGTTGTCCGAGGAATGACCGAGCCAAGGGTCGGATACTGGCTGGGAAATGGAGGTTCGGACTATGGTCGGGTGATGACCGAGGAAATAGTCGGGTGTGGGCTGGATAGCCGAGCCGGATGGACCATATCCGAGGGAAACAGGGTCCAGTCCGAGGGAAATGGGATTTATCCGAGTGCAGTGGGATATATCCGAGAGTCTGGGAGGTTAGTCCGAGTGTCAGTGGACTGTCTCCGAGGGGAAATAGGAAACCTCCGAGAGAAATAGAGGATTAGCCGAGGTGGGACAAGTTGTCCGAGAGAAATAGAAATATCCGGGTGAAAAATAGAAAACACCTCGGATAAAGGCGGTTTATCCGAGTGGGAAGGGATTTGGGCCGTGGGCCAAGTGTTTGGTCGGCTATTTTGGGGTTTATCAAAGGAATGGTCGAGCCGGTACAGGGAATAGCCGAGAGAATCGAATCGGACCGGGATAAAACTTACTGGAACCGGGAAAACGTCGGATAAGTCCGGGTTACCTAGGATTTTGCGAGTATTTAAGGGATTTTGAGACTTTTCTCGGGAGAGTTGTGTTTACTCGAGAGCAATAAAGCAAAGAAAGAGAATAGTCGAGAGAAAACCCTAAGAAAAACAGTTTATCCCGAGGGCATCCGAGAGAGATCAGGTTATCGCCGAGCAGATCCGACCATCGCCGAGATAAACTGGTAAGTGATCGGATATTTCCCTAAGTGTTGAGTTTTCATCGGATAACCTCGAGCTAATAGCCTTGTTTTGTGGGGTTTCTGAGGGAAAACAGAGTTTGGCTCGAAGAGAGGTGAACGGATCAAGAGATGGCCGAGGCGATAAGGATCGGATCGTACCGTGAGCCGAGAGATTCTTAGGGAGATCGGATATCTTCGTTTTGGTGCGGTTTTCATCGGGATTTCTTCTGACCAATCTGTTTCTAGCCTTGTCTAAGGTGAGTGCGTGACTGTGGTTGGGTCTAGGACCGTAGGATTGCTAGGGTTGAATGTTTGCATGTTGATTGTGTGATTTTCATGCTATGTGTTTAGAATTGATAAGCAATCCTTATGTTGTGATATATTGTGGTGTTTACCGTGGCATAGATGGTATTTAGCTAACCTCAGGGTAATCCGGATCATGTACTAGCTTAGGGGATGTGGGATTCTCGCTGGAGTAGACATGGGTCTTAAAAAGGGATTGATCTTGGTTGGTTAGGCTAGATGATCATGGCCGTTTGATATTGTGATGTCTATTGCGAATTGATTGTGTTGAATGTTGAATCTGAAAGTATGACTGCGTGTTTGGTACTGACCAGGTGTTACGGGATGACCGTACTCACTAAGTATTTATGAAATACTTATGCCTCGCATCTTGAGTGTGCAGGTACTAAGCAGTAAAGGGGCGAGACCAGGCGGCAGTGATGGATATGGATGGATCGGGACTTGGTTTTATTTGTGTTAAGACTTGTGTTTAGAGTCTTATGGCTTTGGTGTTTGACCGTTTATGTTGCTAGATGATTAGTTGTATCTTTAGCGAACCTTGTGTTGTGATTTGTTAAGTTAACCCCGAATCCTGTTTAAGTGTTTTTGAAAGTTGAATGAATGAAGTGAGTTATTTATATTCCGCTGTGTATTGATAAGAAAGACTTAGAAAAATAAAGAAGAAAAAATTCGAAAATATGGCTAAGTATAAAAACAGATTTAGAGGATGTAGTGGAACACAGCCGCGGTACGGTTTACCGGGTTGGGTTAGCACATTTACAGTCTTTTATTTGGGTTAAAACATGAGTGTACCATATTGTTTGTGAGTTTGCTTTAGGCATGGAGTGTGTCACTTTACCAAGAAAAGTGATACACAGATGCGACGATCACGTGTTATCATTGCATCATGGTGCTGGAAACTCAAAGGGGCAAATGTGATGTGATATTTGTGAGGGAAAGACAGATCCAAAGTTATGGTTTTATAATTGTGATGTGTACTTAGGGACATGTGTTACTTCAAGGCAGGGAACGAATACCGGGGAGGAGAACTAGTTGCCAACGATGTATGACTAGACCGTTATGCATGCGTTGTTTGTAAAATGCATTGAATGTTCCCTTTCTTTCTTAAGGGTATTGTTGCTTTAGATCCAGCTGTTGTATACGCTGGTTCAATGGAGTGTACAAACCAAAGCCACAGCCGATGGTACGAGTGTATCCGATGGGGCGAGTGTAGACTGAAAACAAAACGATGAGGATGACTATGAAGATGCTGATGAGGCTGAAAACAAAACGATGAAGCTATATCAAGTGTCCGCGTAGGATATATCTTCTGTTCTTGTTTTATTTTATCAAATTGACGTTCAGGTAGAAAGTTTAGAGCAAGGTGTTGACGTTTTCATTGCAAGACATTAACCTAATGAAACAAGGAATTTTGGAGTTGTCAAATTTGAGATGGTACTATAAATCTGGCAACGAAACGCTAATTTATGAACAAAGAGTTGGTTTAACTTGTACATTGAATCAAACCCCAAATATAGCTAGAGAGACTTGGATTCAATTAGTTTTTTTTCACATCTTGATTCACGAATACATATCTTAACACACACGCACACACATGTAGGAAGATTGTGTATTTCACACTAAGACTACATATTGACACCCTTTCACAAACCATTAACCAAGACGTTTTTTTTTGACGAAACATGTCACAAATAGAATCTATGAATAACAAATGATTTGAAACATTTTCAGAGTGAATAGATCTGATTTTAGTTTCAAAAACTAATCGTGCACAAAAGCTTCATGGCTATCAATCTCTGCGTTTGTGAGCGTGAGCGTACGCTGAAGCTTCCGAGGAGAGAAAACCTCAACCTCCACCACAAATGTAGCTGTGACCGGCCGGTGATCAGAGAGTTTGATCTCACTTCTTCTGTAACTCATATGCTTCATTCCTTTCCCGTACCAAATAATACGATCGCACCTACACCACATTCAGTTTTAAAGTACACATCATTTTAATTTTCATGCGTTTATCTTATCACAAAATGTCTGTATTGAGTGTGTATGTGAGAGTGGTTTACCATGCTGGTGTCCGTTTCCCGGCTTTCGGATATTTTCCTCCGTAGTTTTCTGAATCGATTTCGTATTTGTAAGTTGGTGGAAAATCTAGAGCTCCTTCTGACCATCCCTCGAATACACGCCCTTGTCTCATTTCTCTTGCAAGCTACCAAAGATTGACAAGATAAGAGTGCAAAATATGATCTTTGGCTTGTTTCTTTTAACGCAAGAAATCGATCTAAGGCTAAATGTACCTGGTCCTTTTCAGCTAACCTCTTCCAGTCTTTTCTTGCAATAAGTTCATGTGTCTTCTTATACGATAAGTTAATCCGATAGTTCAGATCTCCCAGCCAGATTATTTTTCTGTAGAACAACATTTTTCTTGTTAAAGATTCTTATATGAATAAAAATTAGAGAAAATGCTCTAAAATAATCCAGAAATCTTTTTTACAGCTATAAACTTTTTCTTTCAGTATTTTTTTCAAAGCAGCAACAGAAAATCTATAATTATGCGTATAGCCAAGGAAATTGTTTATAGCTATAACTTTTTTTTTTGATTTTTTACATAACTTTTTTCGTAGTTTTTCGGTAATTTTTTCAAAATAGCAACATAAAATCTATAATTATTTCGTGGTTATACGCATTATTTTTACTAGTGACATCAAGTTCTAAAAGACGTCAAATAATTAAAGATGAGTTCTCAGAATATGCAAATTATAAGGATAAGAGCATACTCGTGATCACGGATGCTTCTTGGAAGTCTTGTTGCGCTAAGAGAATGAGGATGAAAATGCGTTCTTTTGTGAATGTCGCTTACATCAGCGTTTCTTTTCCTTTGATCTCCATCTTTTTCCCCTGAGGCTAGATGCGTGCACACAAAACAAAACGGTGTCTGATACACTGACATGCTCACGGAGACAGCTCCCTGTATAGTTCAAAATGAATTGTAATTAGTTGTTGCAATATTCATTAAATGTATTCTTAACCAAACTAGATAAGAGAACAATTGGCACCAATTTCCCGTCTTTGATTTTATATATGCAAATTCGGTATTCACAGTTTAGATTCCTGAGTAGTAATGTTGTTGACAAAGAAAAAAGAGAATTAATGAAGAAGACCTTGTTACCAATGTAACCCATAACGCCAACACCAACAGTAGACACACTGAGGTTTCTTATGTGCTTGCGCAAGCTTCTCCGAACCCATATGGTTAAAAAAACTCCAACCATCTGTTTGCTTACGATCCGTACATACGATGGTTTCCTCACATTCATGAGAGGCTTGAAATCTAAATCCGCAAGTAGAGGCGTCTTCTTCCCCGCTGCAACACCGTAATTGTTTCCAATCGCTTTAAAAGAGTTATAATTCTTGAAAGGCTTCAATGAAGACTTGTTGTATGAACAACGTTTTTCTCGGACATGTTGGTTTAACAATCTCAGTGGAGGCTCTGGCCAGCTCAAACCAACTCTTTCGGAGTAACTAAACCATCGGTTTAACCTTTTTGCACGTTTCGAACCATTGTCAAGCTGCATTGAAAACAACCTGTCCAGCGTCTTTGGAGATGAAAACTGCCTCTGGAGATACTCTTGTCTCGGCAAGCATGATCTCTTGTCGTAGTTAGTATCAACTATACCATCAAAGTCGACGTTCTCATCAACGGGATGAATCACATTGCTAGTAAACATATCTTCTACTACATCATGGACCTCTTCCAGTGGCTTAAACTTTGACGGTGAAGGAGGATCACTGTAGCTTACGATCTTTACCTTTCGAGGTCGGATTCTATTTAGCGCATCGCGTATAGTGTCCTCCCATTCAGAAGCAGGCCGCACATCCTCAATACCAAATATGTTGCCAGCATTCAGCGGAACGATTTCTTGAAGACTAGAAAGAAAAAATTGCATTTGAAATCAAGAAACCGTGAACATTCGAAATCAATAAATCAAGAAACCATGAACATTCAGTATCAAGAAATCAAGAAACCGTAAACATTCGGAATCAAAAAATCAAGAAACCCTGAAAATTCGAAATCAAGAATTCAAGAAAATCAAGAAACCACCAAGAAACCAAGAAACCGTGAACATTCAGTATCAAGAAAACAAGAAGCCTAAACATTCGGAATAAAAAAACCATCAGACCAAGGAACCAAGAAATCAGGAAACCGTGAACATTAGGTATCAAGAAATCAAGAAACTATAAACATTCGGAATCAAGAATTCAAGAAGGTCTTATTTTAATCGGGTTGAAACCATACCCGATGACATAAATGTCTGCCGGTTCGATGGTATCGACCCAACCATCAATATCCAAGTCAGGAGGTGGGACTCTTCCTCCAACATTCCAAGTCCCAACACAGATTCTAGCTACATCAAAAACCAACGTTTTACCAAAGAACTCAAATGAGATGTGCGGCCTGATTGCTAGTTAAGTAAAGCCACACACAAATGAAATTTCAAATAAGAAAAAAAATCAAAGGACCTGATTGCTTTGGTGTCCATATACTGAACCCTGAACGTTTCTGAGTTCCTTCTTCTCAGCTTTGGTTCAGCATCTAAAACATTCACAAATACGTAAGAATCCATTCAAAACGGCTGATGATTCTTAAATGTCAGCGAAGATTTTAGGATAATACCGTCAGTATCAGCATGAGCTTCTTCTTCGATTCCTGTAACTCGAATCCAGATTTTTCCGATTTTAGATTTCAGACACAACCAGATTTGAGTAAAATTGAGAGAAAACAGTTACCTTCGCTTTCAGAATCACCAGCACTATCATCATCTTCTTCATCTTCACTATCAACGGTAAGATCTGATTCAGTGGCCGAAATGTTAAGCCATTTACGGAGGAGAAGACGAGCCCAATAGAGCTGTAAGCACGACGAAGAAGCCGAAGAACAGCAAAGCGTAGCCCAATTCCTCTGCGAAATTTTCAAATCAGGTATACCCAAAATTCTAGAAAAGCCCTGAATTCAAGGAATAGAAACAGAGTAGAGGAGAAGAAAAAAACAGAGATCGGTGTTACCTCTGTTCGCCGGAATCGAAATCGTTCAGGCGCCATTAGAGTCGGACCAAGTCTAATTAAATGTGAATCCTAAGCAAAGAAGGTTGTAGAGAGGTTGATGATCGAGAGGGAGAGAGAGAGAGAGGAAGAAGACGGTTGAAGAATATTAACGTCCATTGTTGAGAGAGAGATGATGGTGCAGTGAAATGTTGGTTTTGACTTTTTGTAATTTTAAAAAGTAAACGTAGGAAACAAAGTTGTGATTAAGCATAATCTCGAATTAGCCAGCGTTTTGAGTTTGAATAAAGGTGATTAGTCAACAAGCAAGGACATGTCAAACCAATACTCCAATTGTTATTTTATATATACTAGGTATTTACCTGCGCTACGCAGCGGGATATTAATCTAAATTATGTATATATTTTTAATATAATAAAAGTATTTTTATAATATAAATGAGTATTGTATTTTTTTATCAGCTAAAGTTATTTATATGTTTTAAATCTGATAAATATTGTATATTTTTTTTATTTTTCAAAATTATAATTTGCTATTAAATTTGTTTAGCTAACTAATTATAAATGTATATGTAATAATAAATAATACATTTTTAGTACATTTATGCTAATGGTAAATATAATCTATTTTCTCCAATAAATTGCCACTTGATCCTCCTTTGTAATTATATAAAGCAAAATACTATTTTTAAAAAAGATTTATTAATTAATATGATTATCGTGAATTATAAAATTTATTTATTTATGAAATATTTCTTATAAACATATATTTTTAAAAATACCAAACTATAATCAAAAATATTCATATCAAAATCATTGATATCGCTTTAAAACTAAATAGAAAATTCTGTTTAAACTCTTGAAATAACGTTTTAGTTAAAATTAAATAATTAAATTTTGGTTATTGTAACATACTTTAATTTGGAAATTTAGCATAGAGAAATTTCATCTTCTTATAAAAACCGAAAAATCGCATTTCTCCTCAAAACCAAAAAAAAAATTTCTCATAAAACTGAGAAATCGCCTATTCCCGCTAAAACCAAAAAAATTATTTTCTCGTCAAACTTAAAACTTAAAATTTCATTTTCCCGCAAAAACTTGTGTTTTCCGCCAAAACCGAGAAATCACGTTTTTTCACTAAGACCAAAAAATTTCATCTTCCTGCAAAAGCAAAAAAAAAATCGTATTTTCCCGTCAAAACCAAAAAAATTATTTTCCTGCAAAAACCGAGAAATCGTCTACTCCAGCCAAAACAAAAAAAAAATCATTTTTCTCGTTACACCAAAAATCACGCTTTTCTACCAAAACAGATAAATTATAATTTTCTACGAAAACCAAAAATTGCATTATCCCGAGAAATTATGTTTTTCCGCGAAAACTAAGAAATTGTATTTTACCGCGAAAACTAAGAAATTGTATTTTCCTGCGAAAGCCAAAAAATCATTATTCGTCAAAAACTGAAAATTTGCATTTCTCATCTAAACCGAGAAATTGCTTATTCCCGCCAAAACCTAGAAATTTTATTTTTCCATCAAACCGAGAAATTGTATTTTCTGTCAAAATCATTAAAATGCAATTTCCTGTGAAAACTAATAAATCACATTTTTGCGTGAAAACCAAGAAATCGGTCAAAAGTCGAAAATTTGCATTTCCTATCAAAACAGAGAAATTGCATTTTTCGTCAAAATTGAAAAGTTGCATTCCGCATCAAAACTGAAAATCGCATTTTTCCGTCAAAACTAAGATATTTTGTTTTCCCGTCAAAATCAAATTTTTTTTTTTGTTTTCTCACCAAAATCTAGAATTCACATTTTTCCGCCAAACCTGAGAATTTGATTTTTTTGCCATAACCGAGAAATTATGTTTTGCTACCAAAACTGAAAATCATATTTTCCTACCGAAATCAAGAAATCCCTTACTCCTAGCAAAACAGAGAAATTTCTTATTCCCGCTAAAGCCAAGAAAATTTGTTTTTTCGTCGAAGCATGGTTGATGCTGAACCTACACTTTTTTCAATCATATACGTCTCTGTCAAATAAACAGATATCTATAAATTTTTTATTATAATTTATTTATTGTTATTTATTATTTGGATTTAGGTTTGGCAAAAAATAGAACAAATTTTTTATTTGTTGTTATTTATTATTTGGGCTTAAGTTTGGTAAAAAATAAAATAATTTTTTTTATTTGCTGTTATTAATTATTTGGATTTTGTGTTTGGTAAAAAATAAAATAAAGATTAATAGAAAAAGTATTTGAGTTTTTAAAGGGTTTAAGTTTAAAATTTAAAAATAAGTAGGTGAATTGTATTAATAAAATATTTTGATTGGTGATTATTTTTGATGAGGTGTCATGTTTATAAAGCTTCAAAAAGCTGATGTGTCAAGCTATGGAGAGACATGAGTGTTATTGTTGTGTTGATTATATAAAATAAGTTGCATGAAAGTTAGTTATTCATGTGGCAATTTTAAATTGATTAGATTTTGACATGTGCTGATTAAATATAAGCTACCATATTAATTCTTAAAAAAAGATATATTTTAATTAAAAAAATAATAAAAATAAGCTGAAATAAGATTAATTTCAATTTAGGAAAATTTAAACTAAAACGTTAATTCTATAAAAAAAATCAGAAAATAAAAAATTATATTTTAATTAAGAAAAAAGAAAATATAATTATAAGAGAAAAAAATATATCTCTATTAAATATAATAAATAAGATTAACTTCAATTTAGAGAAGTCTAAGTTAAAACATTTATTTTACAGGAAAAATAAAACAATGTTTATATATATATATATATATATATATATATATATAAACAAACAAATAAAATCTGTAACAATTTTTCATTAAGCAAAATAATTATTCTTTATTTTGTTTTAACTGGTATAATTTTCTTTCTTTTCTCATTATATTAATACAATCATGCATTATGTTACATGTACGTTAATAACATTATGTTATGTTATTAAGCTACATAGGATCATGCATTACATTATGTTATGTGTTGTTAGAAAACTTGTATAGTTATATAATTTTTTTAATTATTCTTCTTCTTTTTTCAAGTTTTAACTACTCTTCTAACTTTTTTTTAATATTCTTTATAACAAAAATATCATCAAAACAATGAGTTTAAGTGTTCAAATTAACCAGAACAATTATTTGACATTGGATCAATTAAACAAGAAACGTCCATATCGCCATACGGTACTATATCTAATTCGAAAAAGGGAAGAAAGAAATTTAAAGAAAAATAACAAGCTCATAGAATTGAATGTACCCCTGCTTAAAAAAGGTAAACATTATTTTTCCTTAAACCACAATATATTACTAAATATTATTATATTTTACTATCTAATAATAATTTTTCAATTTAACTTAAATTTTAATTTTTTTTATTCAAGAAAATTCTGTTCATGGTTTTGTGCATCACTCTCTTATTAAAATGTTTGGAGTTCAATTATGTGAAGGAAGACATATTGAAATTTATTAATTTAATATGTAAGATTGCAAAAAGTATTACCAAGTGTCCAATCATAAATTTCAGATAAAGGTACAACTGAGTGTACAAGTGTTAACTCCATGGAGCTAAAAGTTTTGTCAAATACCTTTTAAAAAATTTCGATTTCAAAATTATAAAGATTTTGATAATCTAAAAGATAAGCCAGAAGATTTATACGATATAATTATTACTAGATGATTGGCCTGCACCGTGTACGAGCTATAAAATATTTTAATTATATATTGAAGATGTTTTATTTATATAAAATTAATTATGTATTAATAATAACAATATATAGATATTTAATAATAAAAAATAACAATAAATCAAATAAAAATTGTTATAGATTTCAATAGAAATTGAAGACAAAAAAACATTAACTAAGATTTTTAAAATACTTTCTTAGATAAAAGAAAGTGTAAATATGATAACTAATTAAACTGAAAATATTAAAATATATAATAATTAATTTAATTTTATGATTGGCCCGCATGTATGTGCATGTATAATTTTTTTATAGACATAGTTAGTTGTAATATTTAAGTATTGATTAATTTGTTATACATTATGTAAGTGTTACGTTTCTATACATATACAATTTTAGTGTTTAAGAATAATCACACAAACATTTCATATCTTTTGAAAACTTATGTAAGCGTTATGCTTTTATTAAGGGTGTCAAAACAATTCACCCAACCCAATCCAACCCATGACCCTAATGGGAGAAAGATTAATAGATCATGGGTCAATCCAATTCATTTGGTAAATGGGTTTGGTTTACCTAAAACCTGTCTAATTACATAAGTCAAATGGTTTACCCAAAAAACCTGTTTAATTACATAGATCAAATGTTTATTCATAATCTGTCTAATTACATAAGTGTTTTTTGCTGCCAGGCTTCAAGAGAGACGATCAGTTTCATCAACATTTATGAATCTGCAAAACATGATTAAAGCAAAATATCAGAATATCCACAAACACAATGTAAAACCCATCCCTAAACTCAATGTAAAAACCAAAGGAACATAAAAACACTATCAACAAACTCATTGTAAAAACCAAAGGAACATAAAAACACTAAAGCATTACGATAACATGACTAAGGCTATAAACACCATTCAGAAATTATCTAGTTCATCAATCACAAAATGATACAAATGACCATTCAAGTACATACTTACTTTGAAGTTATTCTATATCCGAGGGAGCCGTGCAAAGAGAAACACTCACTTATCCCTCATGTTCCTTTTCCATAGAAGTTGGTTCTGCTCGAATAGTAACCATTTCACCTTCGTCATTGTCATCTACAAATTCACAAGTGACAAGAAAACAGAGTTAATAGATGCATAAACTAACTTAAAGAAAATTTATGATCACTCTTATACCTTCATCATCAACTTTATAGCCAAATAACCAAGAGCGAGTGCACAATAAAGCTTGTACATTGCTAGGTAGAAGCTGAGTCTGATATTTGTTAATTATATGAGACCCAATACTGAAAGAAGATTCAGGAGCCACAGTGGTGATAGGAACGCTGAGAATGTCCATCGCCATGTATGTTAATGCACCAAACCAACAACTATTATCTTTCCAATACTGCAACACGTTCAAATGAGGATGACTTCTCATTTCTAATTTTGGCTCATCTAAATACATATCCAACGGCGACTTTCCTTCATCCATAACGTCTGGAATATCATCTAACTCAAACAGATCCTGTATCATTTGAAATATGAGCATGTTACAATCTAAAAAAG